CAGCACCTTTCACAAGCATTGGTAAACGTGTCGTAGTCGTTCATCATGTCGTCGTTGACGCGACGGACGGCCTGCTGCCAGGAGGCCGACGACTCCCGCTCGACGATCATCTGCAGGGCGCCGTCGTGCGTCACGACCTCGCCGTAGGAGTTGATCACGTCGGCGAGCACCTTGATGAGCGGCGTCCCCGCGTCGACCGCGCCCTCCACCCTCGAGCTCGTCACCCGGTTGATCCGTTCGCTGAAGAAGCTCTGCGAGACGACCACGAACTCCTCCCGCGGGATTATCTAAAGATTCCTTCGGTTTGGAACGGAATAGGGATTTCATAGTGGTCCCTTTAGGGGTTAGGGATGAAAACAACCTTTATGGGAGTTGAAAAAGTGATCCCTATAGGGGTAAAATTAAGGTGGTCCCTTTAGGGGATTACGGATTGACCCCCTAGTCCCAAAAGCTCAAGTGGGCCCCATAGGGGACTCAAAAACGCTTATTTATTCTCCATGGAAGTGCTTCTTCGCTTGTAGTTCAGAACAGTTATTTACTAGCATGTCCCCTATAGAGGCCCCTTTTTCAAGATTTAGTGACCCCTAAAGAGCTTGGTAAAGTAGTTTCTAGAGGAGACCCTCCAAAGGACCCTTAGGTTGCTCCTATACGGACCACTCGAGTTCCTAAGAATGTTGGTTAGGAAAGTTGAAATTTGATTTTAAAATAAATTCAGGTTTTTTCCTAGATTGCATTTCAAAAAAAATAGTTAAGAAGGTGGAGATTCAATTTTGGAGGAAATTATAAGTAATTCAGATTTTTTCATTGTGAAACAAGAGACTTGAAATGAAAAAAACCACTTGAGAAAGGTAGAAAATTGATTTTTTTATAGAAATCCCATAAAAATGTAATCTCGATAATTAGTAAAATAAAAAAATTTTGAAAAAAATCAGCTAAGAAAGGCTTAAAAATGTACTGAAAGTAGATTCTAGAATCGAGCAAGTTGAAGCATACATAAAATAAACAGAAAGAATATAAATTGAGAAAAATCACTTTTTCCAGTTACTTTCCCAGTCAAAACCTATAAAAAAAGCATTTTTTTTTCTCGAAATCTGTCCAAAAAAATCGTTTAAAATTTTTGGCCAAAAATCCAACATAACTCATTTCATTTATTTTTTTTCAAGCTATTGGAAAAAAATTATTTTTCTGTTTCGAATTTTATGTAAGTCATCAAAAAAAAAGCCTGAAAATTCGAAGGAACATCAAAATTTAAAAAAACTCATATCTTTTGAAAAATAAACTTAGTTTTTAAAAGGACAAACGTTTAAACAAAAGTATCTGTTATCGAACAAAGGATTTTTATACCTATGAAGTTCAAGCCCCTAACTACTGTTTCAATATTCACCTCCCTATAGGCGGGAATGGACTGATAGAGCTGTCCGCTGAGGATATCATGGACGATTCCGAAGAAACGGTCGAGCTCTTCGAGACGAACATAACGGGTCCGTTGTCTCTGGCTGGGCGGAGCCGGGAGGTCCCTTTGTCCCAAGGGAATCCCGCTGTTCGTCCGGTAGACGGTCGCCCGTCGCAAATCCAGGAACAGCCGTCCTTCCACGTCTAGGATAGCCAAAACGAATTTAAATAATACAAAAAGATCTACAAAATTCAAATAAATCACATGGAAAAAAAGGTTGATAATGTGAAGTGGAGTAAAGAAAAAGATTAAAAAAATTAAAAATATTACAATATTTTCAAAAAAACTTCCTTGCTTAAAATTTTTTTGAGGCAAAAAAATCTGACATAACTTTAAAAAAATTTACACCATGGGATTTTTAATAAAATGAATAAATACTCTTACTTCCTGCTCAGAAAAATATAATCAAAAAATTTTTGAAGACCAGAAAATTTCTGAAAGCCACCTGAAAAATCTTCATCGTCGGAGGAGCTCACCATGACGTATCTTCAAACTTCTAGAAATCCTGAACAAAATTCAAAATCTCAATCAAACATCATAATAAATATTTAAAATCAAAGAGAACAACGATACGTAAGTGACATTTAGCGGATTTAGGAAAAAAACGCACTTTTTCTTGCAAAATGAACCATCTCGAATTTGAAGCGAAAATTGAGATTTTTCTTCAATTATAACTCTGAAAGCTTCAATTGAAATGTAATCATCCTAAATCGTGTTCAAAAATGATTTTGCTGCAGTGTTCAAAGAAGCATAGGTCAGTCCTACAAATACTATTGAAAAACCTAGACAAAAAAGCTTTCCTCTACAAATTCAGCTTATCCATCACCTTTAAAAACATCTGCAATTACTTTTAAACATAATCTAACACGCAAAATCAGAAAAGAATAGGAAAACTTGAAGAAAAACGCAAAGATTTTGAAAATAAATTAATGTCGTAAAATGGCGTGTGTCTAGTTCCTGGCACCGCCTGTGTACCTTCAGAAGTACCGTATTCCAAAAACGAAAACTCATCTTCCATTCATATTTTTTCATGCTTCAACGTGCATTCTAACTTTTTTTCGATCAAAAACTCTTTTATAACATGCAATAATATTTTATTCTATCGAATCGCAATTTTTCCGAGATCTCAACATGGAAGACATAGGACAAGGAAAAAAAATAACAAGGGACTAGTATATCGAAAGCATTAGAGAACCACGTTCAGAAAAATGGTCAATAAATACAAAAAAATTAACAAATTATCAACATGAAAAGCAATTTCTAGCTGAGAAGCTGCTTCAATTTCGCCGCGTTTCGTTCTCTGAAAAATGACAAAATTGTTCTTTTTTGTGGATTTTTCAGTTTCAAACCGTTTTCCGCTTTTGGTTCTGGGTCTCGGCTCCGAGGTTTGAGCTCCGAGGTCAGTTTTGTACGAGTAGAACAGCGGGATCGTCTGATTGTTCATCTAGATTCGGGATTTTCTTGGATTTTATTCATTTTTTGTGTAAAACGAACCGAAAAAGTGGGATTTTGGGGCGGGGCGCTGGCCCTCATGTTATTCCCAGTGTAGGCGATCGCTTTCAACTGCCAGTCGCCGTGTTCTTCGCTCCAACTCACGTATTTTTCGATCAGTTCCACGTATTCCGGTGGAATGTACTCGTCGATGATCGCCATGTTCAGGAGAAGCTCCTAATAAAAAAATAAAAAAATGCGTTTTTTTAAGTGAAAAAAACGATTCCGAGAAGCTTCTGGATGATTTTGTAATAACATCGAAACCTTTTTCCCGTTTTCAGGGAGCTTTTAAAACATTTAGAAATCAAAAATAAGTCCTAAAACGGTCGGAAAAAAGCTTTGAAAACTTCGGAAAGTCAGAGTGGTCCCTAGAGGAACAATCTATAGGGCCCTTAAAGGACCCCTCTAGAGACCACCTCACTTCCTCCTATAGGGGACACTAGACTTGCAAAAGTGGCCCTTCTGGGGGAGTATGCTAGATCCCTGTACTTATTTCTTCCCTTTCCACCCACAAAAAAAAAATTGAAGAACTGCTATAGGGACCACTTGAATTTTACCACTCTAGGGAGCACTATTTTCGTCATCTAGAAGGTATTTTTTTCAAATAAACCCTCTAGGGACCACTATGACGTTCCTAAGCACTCTCGAAAAATACAGGTTTCCGCACTTTTCTGTTTCAAAAAAAGTACTAATGTGACTAGAAAGAATATTTTATTGATATGTTGTTTTCATTCGTTTTCTGTAAAGTTCGGACGGTTTTTTTCGTTTCTGAGTGTTATTTATTGACCTTTTTTTCCCGGGTTTACTTTTCCAAACTGCTTTTTTTCTATTTCACAAGGAGAAAAATCTTCAAATTCATCTCTAGGCATTAGTTTTTCTCAAAAATGTCCGCATTTTAAAGACGTCGTCAAAATTTTTTTAAAAAAATGTCTTTATAAAATGGATGATAAAGAAAAAAATGTGATATTTCTAGGAAAAATTCTGTTGAACGTTTAACTTTGAGAAATTAATGAAAGATTCTCAATTTTTCGTCAATTTATTCCAAAAACCCATCAAGTTTATAAAAGAATGATTTCAATATTCGGCCTTTTCTTGATTTTCAAACATAAATAATGATTTTCAAAGAAAGGTATGGCTAATTTAATACAGTTTACTTGCACGGCAATCACTGTCTGATTCGTACTTTTCCGAATCTTATTCTAACCATGAAACGTGGAATGACGAGGAAATGAAACGTCGAAAGCATCATTTCACACAAATTCTTCGCATTTATTTATTCGAAAGATATTTGAGTTGAAATGCGGTCAATCACTAAACTTTATTGCTCCAGGAGATGGGCTGGACTTCTAAGATTTAAAAACAACGGTGGGAACGTTAGTTTTAAGCCTAGGGGGAGGTCAAAAATAACTGGGAAAATTACAAGTGGCCACTATAGAGGCTCGCCATGGACTACAAGGAGAGGACACTAAAGTGGCCACTAAACCCACCTCTGTAGTGGCCACTTCAGTAGTTTTTCATCCAGTATTCCTTCCAGTAACTCTGATAACTTTAAAACAAACAGATTGGACCAGTTATGTTGATCCATTGACCCCTAAAGTGGCCACTAAAATTTTTAGTGGTCTAGTAGTAGCCCTTAGACCTCTATAGTGGCCACTCATTTTTAACCCCTTAAGTGGCCACTAATTTGACCACTATAGCGGTCACTAAAAATTTTCCCAGTTATCTTGAATAGTGCTCAATTTTACCAAAATCAAACATTTTCCTGCACAAAAATCAGTTCCAAACCTTTCTCAATTTTCAAAAACTAGTTAAAAAATCACTTTTTCTTCAAATAGTCTTAAATTTACCAAATTTCTACATCAAAATCCATTTCCAACCTTTCTCAATTGTCGAATATCGTCCAATAAGGCTTCGACCTGCCGCTGATGCTCCTCCTCCATGTCCTTGAGCTCGGCCCGAGCTTCGCCCAACTCCGAAATTACTCTCCTAATTTTTCTCGTCTTTTCCGAGGCTTCCTCTTGCAAGGATGTGTACCTAGAAATTCCCAATTTTTTTTTGGCAAAGGAACCTGCGAAGAAAAATTAAATTCAAGGTCATTTTATAAAGCTTTTTCTCGGATTTTCAGAGGTTAAATCCAAAAAAATTAGTAGGAAAAAAATTGATTTTAATCTCTTTTTCATGCTCTCTTCTTCCATACAAAAAAAGAAAAAAACAGGCGAAAAGTTTGATATTTACGTTGAAAAAAATTTCGAAAAAAACGGCAAAAATCTGGAAAAAAATTTCAGCAATAGCCTCAAAAAATCGACGAAAAATGATCAATTTTCAGCCAAATTTTAACAAAATTTCAAAAAAAGTTGTTTTTTCGCATTTTTCAAGAAGAATCTCCACAAAAAGGGACATTTGAAACTTTAAAAAAATCCACGAACTTTCCCTCGATCTCATTTTTGGCCGCCTTTTTCTCCTTCAACTGATTCCGGAGTCTCAATTCTTGGCTTCGGGAATTTTCCAGTTCTCTGAAAAAAATCTCTATAATATTTTCTTCCATTTCCTTTTCAAACTGATTATTTTCCTCCAGGAGCCTGGCCTGTTCCTCGGCTTTTTCGAGCAAATTCTCCCCGCCAACGATTAATTTGCTCTCGATTTGGCTCAGTTTCGCCCGCAGTTTCTCATGTTCCGTTCGCGTTCTCAAAAGCTCGGCCTCACTGGAAAAATGTTTATTTCTCATGATTTTTCCGTTTCAAAACCTTTCTTGCATCTCCCTGGCGAGTTTCCTGGTCTCCTCGTCTTCTTCCGCGTCTCTACCGGCTAATAAAATCCGTTTTTTCTCCACTTCGGCTTCCATATCCCGCATTTTTTGTTGGAAAGCCTCCTCATTGTTTTCATCGTCATCCCGGTCCTCTTCTGAACAAAAAATTATGAGGAAGATTAGCTAAAAAAATTCAATTAAAATAAATTATAAAAAAACGCTAACTCAAACAACATAAACAGAATCAAAAAAACTAAAAAACCATTTTGTTCATATATCGACTGCTTCTCTATTTTTTTCATGCTTAAAAAAATTTGAAAAAGATCTTTTCCAAATTTTTAAAAAAATTAATAAATAAAATGGTTGTGATAAATCAAGTCTAGTTCACGAATCAACCGGATAAACAACGTATGACAAACTAATTTGCAGCAAAATTTGAAAGACAGCTAAAAATTTGACGAAGGGATCCTGTAGATTCTAGAAATTCCGTATTCTAAACAGGGGTCCACCGGATGTTACGGTTCTCAAACTTTGACGAGGAACAAGATTTAAAAAAATAATACAAAAAGTTGAAAAAAATTGAATAGAAACGGGTAAATCTCCAAACTTTCGTCAACTGAGTTTTGTACGCAATGACCCGAGTGTGCACACAACTGGAATCTACAGTAATCAAAAATTCAAAAATGGTACCTTCGAGCTGTTTTCGGAGCATTTCGATTTCCTGTTGGAATTTGCGTAGCATGGCGTCTTTCGGATCTTCGTTGATCCTTTAAAAAAGCGATTTTGAGCCGAAAAAGAGAAGGAAGAACAAACCTGGCCACGTTTTGAATATTTTTGGCTCTATTTGCATATCGGAGTGTTGACAGGGTTTCATCATAGTTATAACTGGCCGGGCCAATGTTTGCGATCTAAAACAGGCAAAAATTTATGGGAGCGCTTTAAAAAAATCGAAAAATTGGACTTACCATGACAGTTTTCGAGTTTCCTCCCAGAGAATCTTGCAAAAGGCGGGTGAGTTTTGAATTTCTGAATTGAAACAACTGAATTTCAAGCTTTTTCCAACATTTTGAAGCTTTTTTTCAAGCTATTCATCTAAATGAGAAATGAAAAAGCCTAATCAGAATACGTTTCGGAACGTAAATTAAACGCTAGAAATGATGATTCCTGCAGTTTTTGCGAGTTTTTCTAGCTTCTAAAAACGTTCGATTTGGGTGAGAAATGAAGTTTTGAGAACGATTATTATTGCGCCCAACCGCAAAACGACTTGCGCTTCTCGAAAATCATCAGAAAAAGACACGGATTCGGGGCTAAATTTTGAGATTTTGAAGCGTTTTTGGCGGGATTTTCTTCATTTTAAACCATTCCAAATGCGACCAACTTATAAAAATTTGGGTACCTATAAGGAATATGCGTCGATTTGCCGTCGACCAACGAACTGATGACATTTCCGAGTGTCGAGAGGGATAAATTGATTTTTGCGGCTTCCTAGAAACTCTCCAGATTTATTTAGATCTAGTGCGCTCCATGGATAATGATTGATTTTTTGACTTTTGAAACAAAAGGATACACTCAACCAACAGGAAAATCATCACAAGCCCTTAAAAAGGGATAAAAATTCTTTAAAAAGCTGAGAAAATTCAGCCGTCAAATTATTTGAGGCTAGGAATTTGCGCTCTAATGAGAATACAATTTTTCAAAAAAATTGATCAAAAAAGGAAGAAAAAAATAGTCATTTTATGGCAAAACTATTCTGTGCTCCAAGGTTAATCCTTCTTCTCCCTTTTTAAAGTTTAAATTCATTCAAAAATTCCGATTTTTCTTTCAACAAACTTCTCATTGAAACCGGTAGAAATTGTCCATTTCTAGAAAACATTATGAATGGAGCGCGAAATCTCCGCGGCTATTTTTCCTCGGAAATTTTTGAAATTTTTCATCTTCTAAAATTATGTACTCAATGACAACAACGAAAAAAAGAAATCCATCCGAAACTTGTAAATCGTTCAAAACAGTGAACTCATTTAGAAATCTATATTTTTTTTGCTTCGATTTTTCGACAAATTTCTAAAAACTAACTCAACTAAAATCTGGAATTTTATTGAATATATCACCTTCAATCGTTCTCCCTGGGCTCCAGTCTTACTTTGGCGTTCACTTCCAGCCAAATCGACCAGTTGCAGTTTCCCTTGTGTCACCAATTCATTCTGAAACGATTCGAAACAGTATTGAAAAGTGTTTAAAATGACTAAAATGCCTTGTTTCTTGAATATAATGAAAGAATTACGAATAAAATCAATAATTATATACCTAAAATAATAAAAAAATACCGATTTCAGATGTAGGTAATGCCATTAATCAGGATGACCGCGTTTGGAATGGCTTGGTTGATTTTTTGAGTTTTTCAGAGCATCTGACCCAAAACGGCTTTCGCCGAAAGGCTTCAAGGAGCATTGCAGCAAGCTCTGAGCCATTTCAAATACGCAATTAGAACGGCTTGGTTGCTTTTTGGAGCACCCGACCCAATACGGTTTCCGCCCGAGGAACCCAGTTCTGTTTTGAGCCATTCCAATTGCGGCCATGGCTTTTTTTTTCAAAAAAAATGATTTTTTGGACGCCTTACCAAGAATCGTTTCATCCTACATCCAATTTACATCTAATTTATGACATTAACTTGAAACAGGAATCTAATATTTTCCCGATTTTTTTTCCTACCTTACAACTTTCAATGGTGACTGTGAACATAGCGTGGGACCTGGAAGATTCGATATTCATATTCGTCGCGCCGACTTTTCCTGTAATTTATGGGGATATCTCAGGTAAAATATGCCTATTTTCAAGGTAAAAACGTTAAAAACCGTAATTTTTCAGACCAGGAAACCTTCCATAATCAATGGTTGCCTTATTATAAAAAAATCCCGGAATATTTTTTTTAATTATTTTCTAAGATTTCACTGTTTCAAACTATGAATAAATATCTTTAAAAAACATGACTCAATTTCTTTCCGTATCCGACAAAGAAAAATCGATAAACTTTATTGATAAGCCCTAGAGTTTTAGAGAACTGCGGAAATATCAACAAAGAAAAACAAAGGCAAAGTGGTCACTAGAGGGGAGACTGGGAAAAAAAAGCCCCTGAAGTTGGTGAAAGAGTGCTCCCTAGAGGGCTAAAGCTTGAGTGGTCCCTATAGGGGTTCAAGGTCCGACCAAAAAGCCCGTGAAGCTTTTTTCAAGAACGGCAGAGTGGTCACTAGAGGGGAGAGGGGAAAAACTCCTAAAGTAGGTGAAATAGTGGTCCCTACAGGAGTTCAGGGTCTGACTTCTAAGCTTCCAAAGCTTAAGTGGTCCCTATAGAGGTTTTTAAAATTTAACTCCTTATTTGAAATTTGAAAGAGGTATAACAGAGATAGCTTTCTCCCCTAGAGTGGTCCCTTGAGCAATCAAACTTCGAGGCCCCTTAAGGGAAACCTACAAAAGCCCCTAAAGTTGCCACTCTGGCGTTCCTGAGCAAAGCTGAAGAAAAACTGACAATCTACAAGTTTTTAAAGGTTTAGGGCTTCGACTCTAAATCTCTACAGGGACCACTTGATTTTCAGCCCTCTAGTGACCACTCTGGCGTTCCAAAGCTTTTTCGACCATATTTTTCATTTCTAAGACTTAAAAAACGTTTTGAAAACCTGGAAAAAGCCTAGAAATCATCCCAAAAGCTTCTCAAAAACTGAAGAAATTTCCAATTTTCAAAATTTTAAAAACCCATTTCCTACTCCTAAAATTTCTGGGTAGATCTAAAAACCTTCTGAAAACCTTGGAAAATGTCTAAAAATCCTTCAAAAACCGAAAAACCCACGATTTTTGTTGCCAAACTCCATGATTTTCTGCATCTGGGAGGCGCTTCCGACGGTGGCCGACGACAGATTTCTGACGTAGACCCCGACGTCGGGCCTTTCTTTGATCTCTAGGTTGAGTCCGGCTCCTTCTTTGGCCAAAAGGTCCCGGATCTCCTCGTTGTAGATCTCGAGATAGGAGACCCTCACTAGGAATCTGGAAAAATAGGCGGGAATATTTTTAAAGTGGCTATTTTTGGAAATTTTCGAGGTTTTTATAGCTAAAGAGTGTTTGAGTGTTCAAAATGCATTCTCGATTTTGGTTGTAGGGAAATTTTTAGTGGCCACTACAGAGGCTCGCCAAGGACTACTTGGTGAGGACACTAAAGTGGCCACTTGAACCAGCCCCATAGTGGCCACTATTTTCCGTTTTAGTGGCCACTATAGAGGTTCTCTTTCTAGTGGCCACTTCAGTAGTTTTTCATCCAGTATTCATTCCAGTAACTCTGATAATTAAAAACAAACAGATTGGACCAGTTATGTTGATCCATTGACCCCTAGAGTGGCCACTAAAATTTTTAGTGATCTGGTAGTAGCACTTAGACCTCTATAGTGGCCACTAATTCTTAACCCCTCAAGTGGCCACTAAAATTTTTTGTGGTCTAGCAGTAGCACTTAGACCTCTATAGTGGCCACTAATTCTTAACCCCTCAAGTGGCCACTAAAATTTTTTGTGGTCTAGCAGTAGCACTTAGACCTCTATAGTGGCCACTAATTTTTAATTCCCTTAAGTGGACACTAATTTGACTACGCTAAAAATTTTTTTCAAAATTTGAAAACTTAAAAAAAAATTCGTTGTAAAAAACCGACTTTTCCAGAATGCTTTAAGAAAGCGAGATTAGTAAAATACTGATTTGGGTTTTATATAACTTAGTGAAAACTGGAAAGTGAATAAGAAGTTTGTCTGAAAATTGTTTCGTCATTTTAATGAAAAAAATTGTTTTCTAATGAGACTAGAGTCACTAGGCGCAATTTTTTTGGGCTGAATTCAAATCTACGCTCAAAAAAAGCTCCCAGGGAAAAAGTTACAAGATCAAAAAACCCACATTTAAAAAAACTACGTCTTTCCTATAAAGTTCATTTCTTTCAAAAGATTTTAAAAAAATCACAAAAAAATTGAAAATTTTTCAGTCAAAGTTTGACCTAAAAAAACAATATTTTTTTGAAAAATTAATTTCTTTTTGATCTACTTTGAAAAATCCATATCTTTTATTCCTAGCCATCCTATGAATTTTTTTCAAATACAGATTCAGAATCAGCATGAAAAACTCTATCTAATCAACCTGGTCTTATTTGGGAATCTGAAAAAAACTTCTCTCTAGGGACCTCTTAAGGGAAAATACAAAACTAGTCAGTTTTTCGATATAAAAAAATCCTGAAGTGTTCTAGAACATTTTAAAAAGCACTATAACTTAAAAACAAAGTGAAAAAATGAAAAAATATTTTTTTTCGAAAAAATCAAAAAAGTACGTGGTATCATGTTGACACTTGGCGATGTGATCGAAGATATGGGCGAAGGAATTTGGAATGATTCCCCTCGATTCGGCTTTTTCCATTTCTCCGGCCATCGTGAACGTTTTCCCGGTACCCGTCTGGCCGTAGGCGAATATTGTACCTGGAAACAGGTGTTTTCAAAATCAATATTTTGAAAAAAGGTGTTAATTCTCGGGGACACGAAGTCAGATTTTGAGTTATTGCTCATGTTAGCTGGAAACTTTCGATGGTTTCCATACAAAAAACGAAAATAAAGATGAAAGACTTTCTAGTAATTGGCTTGGAACAGTGAAAAGTCACCCAAATTATGTCGATTTAAAAAAAGCCGGTAAATTTGAATATCCCCTTAACAGATCAACAAAAATACAAAAAAAAATTTAACAAGTAACTTTCTCAAAACAGTGAAGTGATATAAATTAAAAAAGTGATTACTGGAATCCACGATGAATAAAACTACTCAAATATTACAAGAAAATCTCAATTTTTTAAATTTTCGTAGTACAGGTCCAAAGAAAAATGAAAAATTGTCTTTTCATGATTTGGGGGCGTGGCCTGTCTGCGCTCTCCACCGACCAGGTATTGTCTCATTTATTTATCGTGTCAAGACCCTTTTTATTGAAGAGCGAAGAAAGTGCACATATTTTTACATTATCAATTATTTCCGAATCAAATTTTTACCATTTGAAAGCAGCAGCTTATCAAAAATGAAACCCAAAATTTCACCTTCAAAATAAGCTCTGAAACGGTAACTCAAATTATATTTACATACCACATGTAACAATGTTGAAAATCGCCTCTTACAAATTTAAATTCAGATCCGAAACAGCAAAGACAACTAAAATTGCCAAACAATTTCTCACTTTTTTTAAAGGCTTTTTTTCATTTTCTAGCACCAGTTCTCCATGGAAATCAATTTACCATTGTATCCCTTCAAAACGTTGTCGACGATGGGTCTCGCCGCGACATTGTATACGGTCATTTGGTCGGTGGCCGGCGGGAAAACCGCGTCGAAGAAAAATGTTCGTGGCGGCTCCTGAGAAATGGTGAAAAATCGAATTTTTTAAAAAAATATGACAAGAAAGCAAACCTTCAATAGCACCCATATGTTTCAAAAAAATTGAAAGTACCTTTTAAATAAGAAAAAAATTCAGTTTAAAAGGAATTTTTTTATCGGGGAAAAACGAAATTTAGAACAGTTTTTTTACCGATTTCTCCTTGTTACAAAAATATCATAAAAATTTTTTTCGGCTGGTAATATTTCCAAAAAATAATTTTGCAACTCTAAAAGTGCTTCAGATTCAGATCAAAATTCTACTCAAATAAAAGAAAACTTAAAAATGACAAAAACTTCGAAATTTCATCCAAATTGTTTTCATAAAAAAAAAATGCCCGAGAAATATAACTTCCCGGTTTCAAAACTTTATCATAACTCTACTCAATCTCAACATTTCACTCAACATCCATCACACACGTTATAGTGTCATAGTGAATCTTTTTGACCATTCAAAACGTCATTTCGAAAATTTTCTGTTGAATTAAGATTTATGGTCAAAAGCGCTCCAATGAGAAGCATCAACCTCCCAATGTGCGCCCCATGGATAAAGCCCGCGAAAGGGGAAATAAATATTTAATTATTTGTTCTTTCTTCATTTTAAAAATTGAGACCTGTTTTGTTCTTTTTTCGGTTAAATCGAGATCTGTAGAAAAATGATAAACCCTCAAAAAATTAATTTTATGCAGTTCATGCGAATTTTTTAAGGTGCAATAATTTTTCCGAACGTTCATTCAATATATTTGCTGTTTTCCAAGCTTTATTTTCTGTCAAAAATCAATTTTTGTCTTTTTGAATTGTCATTTCGAAAAGGTTTGGTCATTTTTTTTTTAGTACACTAATATAATTGGCAAAAAAATGGGACCAGGGTTCGTACCATCGACCTTTTCCTATAAGAAAAAGCAAAAGAAGTTGTTCAACAAAAAAAAGTGAGATTGTTTTCAAAATAAAAATGTGACCACGATTTTTTGATACATAGTTTTTATTCGTTGAATAAAAAGTGAAAAATGGCAAAAAACCTGGCCGGGACTCGATCCAAGGACCCTTCTCACATCATGAAAAACCAGGATCTTCTACTAGAAAAGTCAGTTGTAGACTTGCAAAAAGCAATAACGCGCAGCGGATCCGAACCCTTGACCTTTCTAGCTTCAGTCAAGAGCCTAACCACTTCGACCATACCTGCGAGGCCTGCGGATTCGTCACGGAGATCGACTTGTCCTCCATTGAGCTGCCGACCGTTGATTTGTGGCCTTAAAATTGGAAAATAATAACATTTCCCATTTGAAATTGATGGAAATCACCTTGGGAAAGCTCCAATTCGGAAATTGGTCGACATCTGACCACCACCTTAACTTTTTCCGCTTCTTCCATACTGGAAAATTTTTTTTATTCAATCAAAAATGAATCAATGAACAAGAAAGACAAAGAAAATATCATAAAAAGTCGGAAAATCATGATATTTCTTTCAAAAACGGGATGCCCAAAAAATAATGTATACTTCTTAAAAATGAACCAAAAGGAGTGAAAATTCGGGAAATTTTAAAAATAACTTCAATATGTCATAAGAAAATCGCTCAAAAGACCTCAATTTTCATCAGAAAACTATAAAAATCATCAATTCTTTGAAAAATACCGAAATTAACCTTGAAAAAGCGCCAAAAATTTTTTTTTTTCAAGTCTAAGTCTTCTCAATTTTCGACTCAAATCCTAGCCTAACCATCTAAAAATCTAATTTCTATAAAAACCATCAAGTTTTCTAATAAAAAATCGTAAGAAAAGAAGAAGCCGAAAAGAAAATGAGAGGGCGGTAACGCCTGGTAACGAGAGAGAGAGGCCGGAGTGAGAGGGCGGCGAGAGAAACGAGGGGGGAAGCGAGAGAGCGGGCTCGGCGTGAGAGACGCAGAGACCGGCTCGATGAGCCGACGTCATCGATTTCGACGTCGTCCGGGAGGAGCAGCAGCTGCGCATTTCTTGACCTCCAAGTGACCTCTTGAGGAAAAATCTCCAGAGAGTCCAAGTAGCCTCTATAGTGATTTTCTTGATTTTCAAGTGACCACTCGAGTGATAATCAAAGAAATGAACGTTTCCTATCTTGAGCGAATTTAAAAAATGTCTAGTTGTCACTATAGTGTTTTTCGACCCACAAGTGACCCCTTGAACTTCAAAATATTTTGAAAACGTTAAGTAGTCAGTGATTTTCTTTATTTTCAAGTGATCTCTTGAGTGAAAATCGTGGAAAAATGAAAATTCCCTTTCTTGGAAGAAATTTTAAAATGTCAAGTAGTCACTTTAGTGATTTATTGACCTCTTGAGTGAAAAGCGCCAAAAGATATGAGCATTTCCTCACTACAAAAAATATGAAAATCGTCAAGTAGTCCCTAAAGTGATTTCTTGACCCTCAAGTGACCCCTTGAACTTCAAGATACTTTGAAAACGTCAAGTAGTCTCTGTAGTGATTTTCTAGAATTTCAAGCGACCTCTTGAGTGAAAAACATCGAAAAAAAAAATGAAAATTCCCTTTCTTGGAAGAAATTTTAAAATGTCAAGTAGTCACTTTAGTGATTTATTGACCTCTTGAGTGAAAAGCGCCAAAGAAATCAACATTTCCTTCCATCAAACATTATTTTTGTAAGTCAAGTTTTCACTATAGTGACCCCTTGACCTCCAAGTGGGCCCTCCATTGATAAATTTGAAAATTTTCGGGCTACACAATTTTTTGAGTTTTGAAAAATTAAATAAGTTAGGTTTTTCTAAAATACTCTGATAAAATAACAATCGACCCAAAAAACCAAATTTTAATACAGGTAACTTGAAACAGAAACTTCATGGAGAGCAAAAAAAGATTGTCAATTTTCACATTTATTCACATTAAAGCATAGAGCGTTCGGGAAAAGAGAAAAATAAAGAAATATAAGTATGAAAAAAGTTACAAGCAGCAGAAAATAAATAAATGCAGGAAGGGAAATAAAAAAAGAATATTACGCTAAATTGGCCATCGATTGATTAATTATACAATTATAGTTCGATTAAACCGGAATTTAAAAAAAAAATGATAAAATAGATAAATAAAGGTGCACAACACGGTGAGAGGAGGGTCAGGAGAAAAAAATCAGGGAATTTGAGTCATTTTTGGTGAAAATTGGACAGAAAATGAGAGATCAATGGATTTTTGAAGAGACGATAGAGAAATCAGAGAATCTCTCATTGTCTGGCGTCTCTTCAAGCTTTCTTGGTCCCTCACTTTTTCCGCCAAAATCTTGAAAAACGAGAGTTCAATAGCAGCCTGAAGAGACGCCAGAAAGCATAATTTTCTCTGCTTCTCTGGGGTCCCTTCATTCCCCATAATCTCTCAACTCTTCTCAAAAATGACTCAAATCCCCACGGCAATAAGAGCGGCATAAAATCAGAATTTCGTAAAAAATGACAAAAAGCTCGGGAAATGTAAAAGAAGAAGCTTCGCCTAATAAGGAACGTTTGGTTGGACAAATGTTAAGGAAGAAATTATTATTATTAATAAATACAAATTTTGAAAAATCCCATTTCAGCTGAGGGATCGTGTGATGAACTCGACGAGTCGCCTGGCGTACTGAAAAATAATTTTTAAGGGGGTTGATTTGAAATTTGAAATCTAAAAATCAATATATTATTTTTTTGTAGGATGTCTTGATAGTTGTGCAAGTTATCCCTTAAGGTTTTTTATCAGATTACTTTTTTTTACGGACCCTTAGAAATGCTATAGTTGCCTTAAATGGGAAACCTTAGGGGACCTTCAAGTTTCCCCTCTAGGGACCACCTGTAAAGGCACTTGAGCTTACGAAAGTGACCCTTCTAGGGGTTTCAGTTCACAGAAAAATCTACGAAATTTCTGGTACATATTTCACGTCGGTGGAATACATTGTACGAATTAATATAATTTTCTTTGATTTAATTTGTAACCTGCTTGAAACTGTAAACTAAATGATCATATTTAAGCAAAAAGCTGGAGATCAGACCGAAACCAGAGACACAGACATAGAAAGAAATTTAGACTCTCCAATTTTTCAATAGTATTTTTTTTTCAAACATTTTTAATAGTATCCGGAGCGCTCCAAGTATTATAAGTACTAAAGATTTGCAAAAATCTGTGCTCCAACTTGGAATGGCTCAGTGCACCCGACCTGAAACGACTTGCGCTCGGGATCGTCAGAAGCTTTTTTTGAGCAATTCCTAGTGCGGACCAGATAATTCGAATTTACAGGCATACAAAGCGATAATGGGAACGAAAGTTGAAAAATTCGATAATTCTATATTGTTTCATTGAAACGGTATTATCCGTTAAGACCCTTATTTCCTATTTTCACACTTTTCTACTTACAGTATCATTCTCACCGTAATCAAAACTTTTCAAAAACGTTACCGTAACCCGATTTATCGTGGTAAGACCCTTTTCTCAAACATCAGCTAGAGGCAATGCTTTTCCTAGAAATCACTTGATGCTCACCGAAAAAAACCTATTTTTCGTCGATGGAGTGAAATTTTCACAGTTACAGTACCTCAAAATATTCCTAAAAGCTACCGTAACCTGATTTCTCGTGGTAAGACCCTATTTAGCTGGAAGCACTATTTTCCTTGAAAATTGTACACCAAAAAAAACCTATTTTTCATCGTCGGAGTGAATTTTTCCCAGCTACAGTACCCCAAATTTTTCAAAAAGGCTACCGTAACCCGATTTATCGTGACAGTACTCATTTTTCTCAAATATCAGCTAGAAGCAATGGTTTTCAAAGAAAAATCTATTTTCTTCAACAGAATAAACTTCTCACAATTACAGTACCTCAAACTCTTCAAAATAACTACCGTAACCTGATTTATCGTGGTAAAACCCAATTCATCAGCTAGAAGCACTATCTTTCCTTGAAAAAACTCGATTTTCGAAACACGAAAGCTCCTTTTTTCATGAATAAAAATCTTCAGAACATCAATTTCCCTGTCATTTTTCTGCAACCGACCTGATCCGGCTTGACGGTGCTGATATTCTCGGCGTCGGACCCATATTTGACGGTTTTCGCGGCGGTTGCTGTCCGTTTTTTCATTCCGTAGTAGGTGAGGATGTCGACGAGGCCAATGAAGTAGACGAGGGGTTTTTCGCTGTCTGAAAATGTTTCTATTTCCTTTTGCGAGTTTTATTTCCCATTTTTCGCCTTGTTCTTCATTCCGTGTAAAGTCTTCGTTCGAAGTGGTCAATCTCATTCCGAGGCTTCCACCCCAGAGCACAGTCTCCGGGCTCCAGCAATACATCCGGTGCATTCTGAGCTCGTCAAGGCGCAACTAGAAGATCTACGCGCAAAAAAACGAGCTGGGGGATCGTAAGACCCTGATTTCAAGTTGATCAGCTACAATTTCTGAGCTTGTAAAGGCGAAAATGAACGAACTACACGCAGAAAACCTAGGTGAAGACCTTAAGATCATGCTTTCAACTTGATCATCTACACGTTTTGACTTCTAGCTCGCCAAAGGCGGTTGTTCGTCATAGCTTCCAGAAGAGTTCCTTAATACCGCCTAGTCGATTACATTCGACTATACAACAAAATAAATTTTTGGATTTGCGGTTTCAAATAAAATTAGTGTTTCAAGCTTTTCGGCGACCGAAAGATGAGTTTGAAGGTGTTTGCTCTTAAGCTTTTTTTTTTTTTGAACTCCAACTTCCCAAGTCAATTTTCAACGCATTTTCCAATATTCACTCCAAAATAATTCCAATGTTCCCTAACAAAACGCTCTAGAGCTGCTGGAGATGGAGTAGAATTCGTCCACAAGGTCAGAAAAACCAAAAATTGCTGGGAAAGTGATATTTCCTATGCTAATTTGTGACAAAAACCTCAAGTCCTTATTTTTTTTATCGAGGCTCTAACTTCTCCGGTCACTTTTTTAAAGAACCACTCAAAACCATCCGAATTTTCCCTTACAAAAACACCCTAGAGCTGCTGAAAACTTGGTAGAGCTTTCCGCCAAGGTCAAGACGACCATAAATGGCCGGGAAAGTACTTTTTTCCCCATGTTAATTTGAGAATAAGGACCTCAGATCCTAACTTTTTTCGCAGCTTCAGGTCACTTTTTCCAAGAACCACTCAAAAACCATCCCAAATTTCCCTTCAAAAAACGGACTCGAGCTGCTGGAGATGGCATAGAATTCGTCGTCGAGGTCAGGACCACCGGAAATGGCGGGGAAAGCGCCGGCGGTCGAAGGGATCGGGCTGTCGGGGGGCGTCGGGGCAAGTTCGTCGGCAGATTCTTCGCTCGTTTGTTCCAGAGGCTTGCTGGCCGCCTCGGCAGCCGCCCGGTCGCAGTCGTGAATTCCTGGGAATGAATGAAGTTTTTTATCGAATTATCGCCTTTTTGGTCAACTTAAGATGGCCAGAGTGCTCACTAAAGAGGTAAGGGAGAAGGAAAAAGTCTTGAACAAAATGATGCGAGATTTAAAGTTTAAGCTGTCCCTATAGGGGCCTTATTTTTGGTTTTTTTCTTCTGATTTGTAGGTTAAAAAGGGTATCAAAGAGACATAACATCGCTCCCCTAGAGTGGCCACTGCAGAGCCCCCGACGTCTGCATACACGCGACGGCGCATTGCAGACTAGAGCCAAATTCCGCGGAATCGCTCATTTAAACCCACCAAGAAGCAGAGAGTAGTCCATCAGGTGCATATTCGAGAGCCAGGCCGTGTCACTGGCCAACATTTCCAGGAGTTGCTGTTTGGCTTCCTGAAATCCTCTCTTTCTTCTTTTTTTTGATGCTTATACTTTGATTCGTTCAACTGAATCTTTCCGAATCCATAAAAAATAACAAGTAGCGAAGAATCGACTGCCTTAGTGAATCTAAAAGACATTTCACACTTAAAAAACTTTAATTTTATTATTTCCACCTTGCTTAGAAACTCTAGAGTGGTCCCTATAGGAGCAACCATAGGGGTCCTTGGAGGGTCCCTTCTATTGGTCCCCATACCAACCCCAATATGGGCCACTTAAGCTTGCAAAAGTGGTCCCTATAGAGCTATATTTAATAGTCCCCATATGGTTATATTTAGTGGCCCCCATAAGGGACATGCTAGTCGATAATTTTTTGAACTGTAAGCGAAGAAGCTTCAGTAGGAAAAATAGAATAAATAAGCGTTTTTTTGAATGAAATTGAGAGACCCCTATAGGAAGCACTTAAGCTTTAGGGGCTGAGATATCAGACCCCAAACCCCTATAAGGACCACCTTGATTTGTCCCCTATAGGGACCACTTTTGCGTCCCCTATAGGGGTTGTTTTCCGCCTAAGCCCTATAGTTACCACTTAAGCTTCAAGGACTAATGGGTCAGACCCTAAACCCCTATAGGGACCACTTTTCCAGCCCGTATGCGGGCTGTTTTTCCTCCTAACCCTATAGGGACCACTCTAAAATTCCTAAATGATTAAAAATTTGTTTTTGAACCGACCGCCGGCAGGTGAAGCTTGCAGTTCTGCTCGAGGAAATCGTTGTCCTTGTAGGTCGGCAGATCCTTGGCCTTTTCCTTGTCCGAGGCGGCTCTGGAGACCGTCGAACCCTAGAAAATACAACCATTTTTGGATTTTCAGCATGAAAAAGGGACCTTGAGGTCGAATTTCTTGTGGACATTGTATTTCCGGCCAAAAACGTTCCTCATCACGATCAGATAGGTTTCCGAGCCGTCGATCGTCAATCTGAAACGGGTAAAATTGATAAAATTGCAGAAAAGTTTGAAGAAAAGTAGTTTGATTGAGCTTTTTGTGTTGAAAAATGATCGAAAACGAAATTTTGAATTGTATTTTTTTTTTTTTGAAAAAATTTTCAACTGAATTTATCGAATAAAATAACAAATCCATAGAAAAATGCACGATAATTCCCAAATTAGGTATGAAAAAGTAGCGAAAACTCGAAAAAAAAAACTCTTTTTTTCCAAATAAATCCATCAATCAGGAATGATATCCTAAAAAAAAAGCCAGTAATTCCAAAAATAGGCTTTAAAAACCATCCGAAACTAAAAAACGATTTTTTCTCATGAAAACACTTTCCGCAAAGATTCTAACCCTCATTGATTTTTTTTATTTCTTCATAATCCATAAAAATTTTTGATAAAAAGCGATTCTAAAATAAATATACATTTCAGACGAAAAATCTGACTCTTTTTCCAATAATTGGAAAAAAAGTTGAAATTTCATAAATATGTTTTTGAAACAGTAACATTTTTGAAAGTTGAATTTTTAAGGATTTTGAAAATTCCAAAAAGGAAGAGAATCCCATGAACACTTTTTTCCAGTAAATTACCGATAAGGCGTAAAATTGAATAATAAGCAAGGATTTCTGTGAAAATTCCTTGGAAAAAACGTTTCAATCTTCCAAATTCTACAAAAACTGATAAGAATTTCGGAAAATTCCATAATTTGAGCCCTTTTTTATCCCCAAACTTACCGATCAAGTCACGAACTACTTGTAAAATCAAAAAAAGTAAAATCAAGTATAAATTCCATAATTTGAGCTCTTTCTTTTATCATCAAACTTAAGTATCTAGTTTCGAAACACTTGTAAAATCAACTTCAAGACTTTTTTCAACTTTCAATTTGCCAAAAAATGACAAGATTCCTCTAGAAATTGATAATTTGAAGGTTTTTCTCAACTGCAAAACGTAAAATTTTGAAAAATTACTTGGAACATTCCAAAAATCTAATGGAAAATCCAATAAATTCCAGCCCTCTTTTGTCCCGAAACTTACCGGTAAAGTCCCGGGATTAATTTTAAAACCCTTTTTTCAACTTTTATTTGGAAGATTCCTCTAGAAAAAGGATAATCTGAAGGTTTTTTTCTCAACTTTAAAAACGTAAAAATTTTGAAAAATTCACCTAGAAAAAAAGATGTTTTAAATTCGACAAAAAAATGATAAAAAAATCCTACGAATTTTTTTATGACCTTTTTTATCCCGAAAACTTCCCGATAAAGTCTCGAAACACTAGTGAATTCATTTTAACGACTTTTTTCAACTTTTATTCTGAGAAAAAATTAAAAGATTCTTTGGGAGTTGATCATTTGAACGCTTTCTCTCAAATAAATGATAAAAAATCCCACGAATTTCATGACCTGAACCCATTTTTTTATCCCGAAAACCTCCTGATAAAGCCCCGAAACATATTTGAATTGACTTTAAAGACTTTTTTTCAACTTCTATTCTAAGAAAAAATTGAAAAATTTCTTTAGAAATTGATTATTCGAACGCTTTCTCTCAAATAAATGATAAAAAGTCCCACGAATTTCATGACCTAATCCCATTTTTATCCCGAAAACTTACCGATAAAGGCCCAAATATTGGGGCAACAGGGTTTTTCCCTGTTTCTCCACAACGTATTCATGATATTTGCGGAGGACCGAGTGGAGTTCGGCCACGGCTTCCGAATCCATCGTCTGGAAAAGGAAATAGTTTTTTTCCGTTTTATTCGAAAAAAATCAAAAAAATTACAGTAGTCTATGAAGAATATTAGGAAAAACCGTTTCAATTTCAAAAAGATTTTTCTCTAAATTTTCAGTTGATCTATAAAGAATATTAAAAAGGAATGTTAAAATTTGAAAAATTCATTGGTTTTTCAGAAGCTGAGATTTTTATTTCTATTCAATTTTCAACCGACCATTTGGAAACTTCATTTTCAGGCGTTTTTTTGAGAAACCAAATATTTTTTTCTATCGGTTTTCAGCCGATCTATTGAGAATATTGAAAAAAATAATGATTAAATTTGAAAAATTCACTGATTTTATTGGAACTAAGTATTTTTTTTTCTATTAATCTCGGCCGTTCTATCGAGAATATTAAAAAAAGAATGTTAAAAAGTCCAAAAATTCATTGATTTTTTTAAGAGCTAAAAAATTTTTCTATAGCTTTTCAGACGATTTTTTTGAAAACTAATGTTTAAAAATTCCGAAAATTCATTGGTTTTTCAGGAGCTGAATGAATGAAAAAAATTTTTTTTCAGCCGATAAATCAATAATATTAGAAAAAAAGTATGTTTGAATTTAATAATTCATTGATTTCCTTCTTTCAGCCGATTAAATTGAATTTTCATTCGTTTTTTTCAATAAATATTCCACGATTTTTTTGAGGCTTAAAAAGTAGCACTGAAAATCCATTTTCAAGGCGCTCATGACTTTTTTTGTTTCTATTTTTCCTACTATCACGATCGTCCCAATAAAAAAATTCTCTTTTATTAAAAAAACTTCTCTGAAAACGTACATAAAAGGTACATTTCTTCAGCCCCGTGATTTTTTTTATCCGTTTTCAAAGGTTTTTTTATTAGAAGTTATCATTTTTCATCGGTTCCGAATGTTTAAAAAAATGTACTTTATTGAAAAAAATAACAAAAAAATCATCAATTTTAACCAATTTCTCAATAAAAAAACCGTACTTTTTTTGAGCTTTTAACAGTTGATAAAAAAATGTTTAGCTCCAAAAAACCCAAATTTTTGTAGAAATTCAGTGATTCAAGCCTTCGAAAGCGATGAAAAATGATCAAATTGCCATTTTTTTCGGCTGAAACATGAAAAAATTCGAATTTCTTTTGGAAACTGCTATCAAAAATGCGTTATTTCGAGGCCTAATAATGATAAATTCGTTGAATTTTCCAGTGTAATCGTTTTTTTTTTCAGTGTTTCGAATCCTTTTTCTCGATATTTCATCGTCAAATTGTTCTATTATCTCGTTTCCGAGCCAAAAGTCGACAAGACAAAGCTCAAAATTTTCAATTTTTCCAATAAAATCGCTTCGAAATATACATTTTTTCTCTTTTAGTACCTCGGCGGCTTCTTTTCTTGCTATTTTATCGGAAAATGGACTTTTCTCCCGTTTCAAGAATAAAAATCTACAGAAAACAGCTAGAAATCTCCATTTTCTCAGTGTTTTTTGCCCTGAATAGTCCATTTTTCCTTTTTCATAACCTTTTTTTCTGCTATCTTTCAAAGAAAAAGCTAAATTTTGTCATTTTCAGTGTATTTTGCCGTTTCGCTCGTTGTTTCTCGTTTCTAGGCCAAAAATCCACAGGAAAAAGCAAAAAAACTGTCAATTTCTTTGCTTAATTCGCTTCGAAAAATCTATTTTTAATTTTTTCAGTGAAAAATTGTCATCTCTTCTCGTTTTTCGTTCAAAAATCTACAGAAAGCAGCTAGAAATCATCATTTTCTAAGGGTAATTTGCCCCTAAATGTCCATTTTCTTTTCAATATTTTTTTTTACTTATTATTTCTCCAGAAATCGCCCTTTTTCTCATTTCTAGACCAAAAATCAACCAGAAAAAGCTAAAAATCATCATTTTTTCAGTGTACTTAGGCTTATATTTTTCATTTTCTCGTTGTCCCACACCTTGATGGCAAACTTCTTGTCGTAGGAGAAGAAGAAGTCGCCTTTGGAGCCTTCGACGGGCTCCGGCTCGGGCTCGTAGGACGTCAGGGACCTCAGGTACTCGTACTGGTCGACGCCGAATTGCTCCCGCAGGTTCCGGAACACGTTCGGGCAGTACTCTTTCACCTTGAAAATTCTTTTTTTGATGGAAAAAAACTAGTTTTTCAAAAGTTGAAAAATCGAAAAAAATCGTTGGAAAAAGCTGAAAATTTCGTGAAAAAAACCTCACAAATTTTTTTCCACTCGATTTCAAATTTCCATTGAAAAAACAACTTCTTTCAAATAAAGTTTTCAATTTCTGTTGAAAAAAACTCCACAATTTTTTTCATTTTCAGGTCAAGTTTTCATCTAAAATTTTCACTTTTTAAAGAATTAAAATTGAATTTTTTTCCTAATTAAACCTGGAAAAAAATTAAATTTTACTATTGAAAAAAATGAAAGTTTTAAGGATCAAATTGCAATAAAATGAGTATAATTAAATGAAAAAAATGCGATAAAAAGAACTATCAAATTCGAAAAAAACGTAGAAAAAAAGTGGAAAAAAATCTTCATTTTTCGTCACAAAATCTCGTTTCAAAAAAATTATTTTATCCTTTAAAAAAATATGTTTTTTTTTCAACTAAAAAAATGAAATTCTTGACATTGATTTACATGATATTAATGCAAAAGCTTGAAAAAGTTTGCTTGAAAAAAATTAAATTCGAAGGGGAAAAATGCAAAAATCATCATTTTCTGTTATAAAAAAATCCGTTCTGAACCATAAATTTCCACAAAAAATATTTTTTTTTTTCAAAAAATGAGATTTTTCCCTTTCGTAGTTCCCAATTTGAACAGGAAAACCCAAAAAAACCCCTCAAAAAAATCTTTTTTTCAAGGATCTATTCCCCCTATGACTCATCAACCATTCATGGCGGTAGGCAATAAAATCGGACATTTTTTCTGATAAAAAGTCACGTTTTTTCTCGGGGAACCTCACCTTGTAATGACTCGGCATGATGTCCTTTGTTGAAATAGTGATTGTCGATTTTCACTTTTGCGTAGGCCTGCAAAATTATTGAAATAATCATGAAAAAAGACAGAAATTAGAACAAAAGCTTCAATTTTTGGCCGATTTTTGAACCTTCACTAATAACTCTTTTCAAGCCACCAAAAAAATATTGTTTTCTAAAAAAACTCAAGGCTTTTAAAAAAATATTTTTCACTAAAAAGCAACAGAAAAAAATCAAGAAAAAAATGAGAAAAAAATTGACTTTTTCAGCCAAATTTAAAGATGATTTTTGAAATTTTCGCTTGATAAAAAAATGCTTTTTCATGAAAAGGATAAAGATTTTCCGAAAAAGAAAACCAAGGCTTTCAGGAATGATTTTCGAGAGAATCTAAAAAAATCAGAAAAAAACCAGAAAAAGTTTGATTTTTTTCAACTTTTTCAACCAAAACTTCAGGCCGATTTTTTTGGATTATTCTCAAAAAAATTTTTAGAATTTTCTCTTGAGAAAAAGTCCTCCACTTTTTCAGCAACAAATATAAAGTTCAAGGCTTATCAAAATTTAAAAAAATCAAAAACCGAAATAATTAAAAAATTTTTGACTTTTTCAACTTGCTTTCAAGCCAATTTTTGATCTTTTTCTTGAAAAAAATGCCGATTTTTCGGGATCCATATTTCTTCCAGGCAAAAAAAGTGTTGTTTGAGGAGTTCAAGGTTAATGAAAAAAATATTGCAAAAAAATCATAAAAAATTTTTTTAAAAAAATTAGAACAAAAGTTTGAATTTTCTTTTCAATTTTAAGCCAACTTTTGACCTTTTTTTCTTAGAAAAAAATGCTGAAATTTCTTTTTCTTTTTGTTAAAAAAATTTTTTTCAGGAAGAAATATGATATTTGACGAGTTCAAGGTTAACGGAAAATATTGAAAAAGTCATTAAAAAAATTTAAAAAAAATTAGAACGAAATTTCGAATTTTCTATCCAATTTTAAGCCGATTTTTGACGTTTTTTCAAAAAAAATTCTAATTTTTGGCTGAAAAAAATAAATTCAAGGTTCATTTAAAAATCAATTTGAAGCTCATTTCTCAGGTGAATTTCTGCAAGACTACCCTAAAATCTACAAATTTACAAATAAATTCTTGACGTCAAAAAAAAATTAATTTCTACACGTTAAAGGATCATTTTCAACTTCTAAACCCATCTAATATACGTTTTTTTGAGAAGTTATAAAATCGTGAGTTTTTTTCGAAAATTGTTAATGGGCAAAACTGCTCTAGTAGTCTGATTCAAAGCCTCACAAAAAAATATTCTTCAAGATTTCTTAAGGAGATTTAAAAAAATCGATGAAAAAGGATAAAAAAATTAGACTAAAGTTTGAATTTTTCATCTCAATTTAAGCCGATTTTTGACCATTTTCTCGAAAAAAACGATTTTTGGCTGAGAAAAATGAGCTCAAGTTTCATTTAAAAAAATCAATTTGGAGCTGATTTCTCAAGTAAATTTCTAAAAAAACCACTTTAAAACCTACAAATTAACTAATTATTTAATCTAATTTAATCAAAATTAAATAATCCACAAATAATTTCTTGACGTGAAAAAAATAGTAATTTCTACACGTTAAAAAAATTAATTTCTACACGTTAAAGGATCATTTCCTCTCTCTAAATCCATCTAATATACGTTTTTTTGAGAAGTTATAAAAATCGTGAGTTATTCGATAATTGTTAATGGACAAAATTCCTCTAGTCGTCTGAAAGAAAAAAATTCAAAGCCTCACAAAAATATTCTTTAAGCCTAAATTACTTAAGATTCAAAAAATCGATGAAAAAGGTTGTAAAAAATGTAGAAGTGGCCGAATTTTGCAGAAAAATGCTCAAGAAACCCAAAAATTATCAAAAAATAGAAAGGAAAAACGAGAACAAGCACTGCCAAAGTCGAAAATGCGGAAAACGGGTGCAAAAAGGGAGTGACTGCAAAATGGCCGCTAAAAGGGTCCCTTTTTACGGCCTTCATTGAGCCTTTCATTTTTGGTGGGCTAAAAAGAGTCATAAAAGGGCGAAAAAAGGGAGAGGCCGCAAAAAGAGTGAAGAAAGGGTGAGGGTGCAAAAGGGTTCTGAAATTCTCTTTCTATTGATAATTTCCGATTTCATTTCTGTTGCATATTATGGTTCATACACAGTCCCTTGTAAAAATTATTCCTACTTTAAAAAAATTGTATTTCTCAAAAGGGTCCAAAAAAAGGGTGGATGAAGGCCGATGAAAGGACGGAAAAAGACAGTAAAAAGGAAACCTTGCCACTCGTTTGGGAACAATTAATGGAAACAGACGGATCTGTAACGGACGCTCAAAGGGCCCGTGAAGGGTCCTTCCGACTTTGCCTCTGAAAAGGAATCCGTTTTGGAGCCTTTCTCTCTTGGTTGGCTCAAAAAAGGGTGAAGGAAGTTTTAGGCCCATTTTGGTTCATACAAAGTCACTGGCAAAGACTATTTTCAATTTAAAAGTGTTTCTAAAAAGGGGTCCAAAAAGGGTCCAAAAAGGATCTAAAAAGGGTCCAAAAAGGGTTTTAAAAGGTCCAGAAAGGGTCTTAACGGGTCTAAAAGGGTCCAAAAAGAGTCCAAAAAGGGTCCAAAACGGATCTAAAAAGGGTCCAAAAAGGGTTTAAAAAGGTCCAGAAAGGGTCTTAACGGGTCTAAAAGGGTCCAGAAAGGGTCCAAAAAGAGTCCAAAAAGGGTCTGAAAAGGGTCCAAAAAGGGTCCAAAAAGGATCTAAAAAGGGTCCAAAAAGGGTTTAAAAAGGTCCAGAAAGGGTCTTAACGGGTCTAAAAGGGTCCAGAAAGGGTCCAAAAAGAGTCCAAAAAGGGTCTGAAAAGGGTCCAAAAAGGGTTCAAAAAGGGTCCAAAAAGGGTCCAAAAAGGGTTCAAAAAGGGTCTAATAACCATTTAGGAACAATTAATGGAACCTTTTTTTCCATAATGGACGCTCAAGGGGTCTCTAAAGGGTCCTTCCGACTATACCCAAAAGAAGATAAATCTTTCAAGATTATTCAAAAAAATCGCCTTGAAGTCGTCGGGCATCAGAAGACCCGGCGGAGGGACGTGCATCAGTTGGTCGATCGAATGGTTGACGCCCCACATGAAGACCGACAGAAGTGGCTCCTTAAGTGAATATTTTTCATTCGAAAAATCTTCCTAAAACTCAAAGAAATCAATTTTGAATCGAAAAAAGCTCCGATGTGGATCCTGAAGCGAACTTATACCTCTTGAAAAAAATCAAAAATCTTCCTACACTTAAAACAATCAATTTTGAATTGAAAAAGCATCAAAGTGGCCCCTAAAAGTGAAAAAAACTTTTTCATCAAAAATCGAAAAATCATCCTACACTTTAAAAAAATCAATTTTGAATCGAAAAATTAGTTTTTTTGAATAAATTTTGTCAAGCCAACAGGAGTAACTCCATGAGAAAAATATTTTAACAAAATCATTTATTCGACCACTTAAGTGAACACTTTTCATCATAAAAATAACAAAATATCCTCCTAAAAAGATGAAAAATCGATTTTAAAAATCCGAAAGTCAATTTTTTTCTGCATAAATTGTGACTGAAAAATAGAAACCCAGAGAAATGGCCCCTTAAGTGATTTTTCCATTTAAAAAATCCAAAATTCAACTTATTTTCAACTTCGAGTCGGAAAACGTTATTTTTAATTTCGCCACTCAAAATGCACTGAAAAAAACCGAAAAAAAGTGGCTACTTAAGGGGTTTTTGTTTTTTTAAATATTCAATTTAGAAAAAAAGGTGAATTTTCGCCAAGTACTTTTGGTTGCACATAGAAACCGCTGACTTTTCAAATGATTATTTAAAAAGAATAAATGATCAAAAAAATGTTCCCTTTTTTTCCCTAATACTCGATAAAACTGTAAGAAAAAAATCACTAATTGCAAGATGAAAAATTTTGCCTTAAAGCTGAAAAATCTAGATCAGAATCACATAGTTTCTAAAAAAATTTCCATGAATTTTTCCACCTAAAAAAAGAAGTCAAAAATGTACTTTGGCCCTGAAAAGCTTCCATTTCAGGGACGAGGACTTTGCCCTTTTTCTTTCCGACGCGCGACTTTTTCTTCGTCGACATTTCCTCGGTTCTGAAATTATTTTCTTTCAAAAATTCAATCCATAAAAATGAGCAAAATCTGTTCCAAAAATTCTTTCTTGAATGTTTAAAGGCAAAAAATAAAACTTGAAGGGACACTTCACTTGATAGATTTTCTTAAAATTGCCTTTAAAAATCCTGGAAACGATTTTTGAACAGATCTTACACGGAAAAAACGAGAATCGAAACAAGAAGACGAAAAAAGTACGAAATTGGAATCCTAGAAGCAAAAAACAAATTTAAGCCAGCTGTTAACCTCAAGATTCTTCTATAAATCGGCCCGAGTCTTTTTAAAATATCCATAAAAGGTTTTTGTACACTTTCTACACGAAAAAAGGAGGATCAAAACAAAAAAATGATGAAAAAAGGACAAAAATCGAATCATAGAAGCAAAAAACACATTTGAACCGGTTTTCATCTTAATATTACCTTTTAAATATTCATAAAAAAACTTTTTGAACAGATTCTAGACGCTAAAAACGGAAGAACCAAATTTAAAGAAGATGAGAAAAGCTTTAAAATCAAACTATAGAAGTGAAAATTACATTCTAGAACCGGAAAACTTAAAAACACAAATAAGCGACATAAAAAGCTTTAAAAAACTGGAGGGGACAGAAATTTTCCAATAAAAATATTCAAAAACCATCATTTACAAGATTTTTTTCTTCCTGAAAGTTCTAAAAAACTCCGAGAACAAGTAGAAAGCATAATAAAAATCAAAAAACCTCAAAAAAAAAAGAAAAAAAAGCGTAAAAATTGGCTTTGAAATATCGTCAAATCGTAAGAAAAAGATAAGATTTATAGAAAATAACAGTTCGATCAATTTTTGACCCATCTATCGTGAGTTCAAAGCTCAAAAAAGCCAAAGATTACAGAAAAATTCCTAAAAACTCAATTTTCATGACTCTTTATATGACATGGAACTTTTTCAAAGCTTCAATATCTACAAAACTCCAAAAATAATGACTCCAATCTTCAAAAGTCATGAAAAATACAACTCAAATACCGCAAAAAGTTCAAAAACCCTGCAAAACTCAGGTCAAAATCTGAAATTATTCCATTTTTCCCACAAAAAACTCGAAATCCTCGCTTTTTTCTCAAAAATACACTGTTCCAACACTTTAATCCTCTCTACAATCAAATAAATTACGCAAGAAAGGCAAAGATCATCGGGGCAGAACCAACAAAGAACGCCTTAAATGTCGGGCCTGCACCGGAAAACAATCAGTTATCGTTAATCTTATCAATTGGGGGGACAGTTATAGACACGTGATCTGCTATTGAAACTCTAAAGAAACGTCTCAAAAATGACAAAAAAAGGCGGAACTTTAATGATAAAGAAGGGAAGGGCGAGGGTATCGATTTTCGGGAATCGATAAAAATGGGCTCTTTTTGGAATTTCAAAAAAATTTTTCAAATTTTTTTCTCGGATTTCAATTCAAAATTAAGACTGAAAAACAACTGAGAACTGGTTTTACCAGCCAAAAAACATATAGAAAAAGGGAAATCGACCAGAAAACAGGAAGAATCGGAAGCCAATGACGAGAGAGAGAGGCACACTGGGGGATTGTCAACGGAGCACATTTACTTTTTCGAGTATCGCCTTTTCTCCCACACTTTTTGCGTGCGTCGTGGGAAAAAGGGAACATGTATCTTGGGTTTCTGGCCTCGGAATTGTTTTTGGTACAAGAAAAAAAGGGGAAATGACTTTAAAGGGTCAAGAATTCATTGGTAACATTTTTTTTCATGTTAAAGACTGAAAAAATTGCGATGATTTCCCTCAAACTCCAAAATTTGTCAAAAATAGGCTCGAATTTACCAGATGAAAAAATTCAGAAGGGTTCTAGATCTCAAATATCTTAGTTTTCAAGAAACTTATCTACAAGGTTTCAAAAAAATGCAAGAATTTTCAATTCTTTTTAAAATAAAAAAATATTCCAAAGTATCATAATGGAACGTTTTGATGAAGTTTGAGTGCTTTCTACAATTTCAGGCCTTCTTTCTTGGAAACTAATAATTTTTGATTCTTGAGACTTTCAGGACCACTGTCTGGTGCATCAATGATCAGGACAGCCAAATTTCAAAAATTTTTCTGCATGCTGCTAAAAGCTAAAATCCCTAAGGACCGAAAAAGGCTTTATAAAGGTTGAAAATAATGCCCACTTTTAAGATTATGAAGCATTGAGAAACCGTCTAGAAATTCAGAATTTTTTTTGTCTTTCCTATACCCTACCTTCTAACCATCTAAACTTGTCGATTTTCGGAAAAGAAAGACATGTGTTCCAAAACACGAGCTTCAACGGTTGTAGAGATCTCCATCATAGTGTACTGCAGTCGAAATTTCGAAAGTTCCAGAATTTCAAGTAAAAACGCCTCCCTAAAAGCCAAAAAATCGGAAGAGTCCATAAAAATTGAAAAATGACCATGGGACCCCATTTCGGAGTTTCGAGAGCATTGATAAGCAGTCTAGTAACTCAGATTCGAGTGAAAATCTTTGGAAGACCCAGGAAAATGAAAAAATCGCACAAGCTAGCCAAAAAAAAGGCAAAAAGCTCAAAAATTAAGAGGTCTGATGAAAATTGGAATTTGTTTTTTGTTTCGAGGCTTTCCAGACATTTATCTAGTACATTTATCAGCACTGCAGAAAAATTCAAAAACTTTTTGAAAAAAATCCTAGAAATTCGAATAAAAAAAGACCTGCTAGGAAGATCGAAAAACCGCGAATCCTGTTTAAAAATAAAAAAACGAAGACTTAAAAATTGAGAATAACTGGTGAAACCGTCCAGAAAATCATTTACATCAATTTTTTGTTAGCCTTGGAAGCTTCAACACTTCGGTTTCTCAAAGACTAGGATTTTTCAGGCCCTTGAAGCTTCAGGATCATTATTTTGCAGACCAAAGAGCAAGGCAAAGTCCTAGAATCTCGAGTATGAAGACCTCCCTCCTCAGAAAATCAAAAGACCGCCCAAGCTTGCCCAAAACAAAAAGGAGAACGGAGCTAAAAGCCTTAAGCTTGAACGGGAAAAAGCCGCCGCTCCTCTTCTTCTGACTATAGTGTAAAGCACTTGCGCAAATATATACAAAATCTCCGCGGACCACCAAAACCAAAAACGAAAGAAAAAAGAAGGAAAAAATGAAGTGGCTCCACGAAAACAACCATTGTTATATAATATTCTGGCGCCCATATTTTTGCTCGAAAAAATAACATCAAATGGTTGAAATGGAGTGGTTTTGACAGAGGAAAATTCTTTTTTCCTCACTCATTTTTTGGATGAAGCTGTCATTGTAATATGCATTCGTTGGACGCAAAAACAACCGACATTCATTCTGAAAAAAATATAGTCTGTTCGAAAATCTATGCTGGGGTTTTTAAAGGAGCATAGGCGCATTTTACAAAAGTCTCGAGTTTTTTTCAATGTTCTTAACGACTTCATTATTGTTAAAAGCCTTGCTAGCTTTTGGAAAAGACTATATTGCACCGGAGCGACATGAATAACGAAAACTCGAAATGATCACATTTCGAAACTTTTCACGGAAAAAAGCATCCTCATCATGCAAAATATGCTTTTCCACAGCCACACATCATTTCGAAACAAACAAAAAAACTCTGAAACCGAAGAATTAAATTTAAAAAAACCCAAAAAAAAGGTGAAAAACGATGAAATTTTCAAAATGTCGTCAATTAAAAGGCAGATTGTGCAGACACCGGTACAACCACAACTCGTGTGGCTACAGTAACCTAAACTTTCAAAAATTGTCATTTTTCTTTTCTATCATTTTTTTTTTGCAATTCAGCCGATTACTATGTTCCTTTTGATCAAAAAACGTACTTAATGAATCAGAAAACAAAAGGGGGAAAAAAAAAAGAAAAGGATGCGAAAAGTCAAGGCCGTTAATTGCGATATGACATGATGCGATGATATCTTTGCAAGTGGTGATCAGAAACCGGCCTTGTGATGAAGATAGCTTGATAACGTGTCCCTTAGGAGAATGATTGGACTAACTCAAATAACAATACACTTTAGATTTGAAAAAAGATCGTAAATCCGTTTTTTTAAAATTTCAACGAAGTTTAGGCGTTTTGAAGGGAAAGTTTGGTGTTTTTCAGGTTTTGAGTTTTCTTTTTCTCGAACAAGAGCACTATAAGAGCATGTGGAAGGGATTCAAATCTCGAAAAAAAAATCCGAAAAAAAAGGAAAAAGGCCGAAAAGCGCAATAGAAGGCGAAGGAGCGGCGACGCTGAAGAATGCATTTCCGGGGCGAATTTCGACGTCAGCCGTTTCTCCATTTTTCTTCCCGCTTTTTCGAGATTTTCGAGATTTCTTTCGCCTCAAGAAGGAGAGATATGTTGCGAGGGTTCCTTTAAAGGGAGGTGATTTTACTTTTCTTTTCAGAATTTTCTGAAAGTTCAGAATTATCCTCTTTGATTTTCTAGATAATGGTCAAGAAAGTCTTAGGAAACTTTAGAAAGCTAGAAAGATCATGAAACTTTAAAAAAATCACGAAATCGCAAAGAAAAGGGACTGAAAGTCAGAAAAAAATATGAAAAATGGAGACATACTGCTTCAAAAAAATATATATATTAATTTTTCCCGGTCGAAGTTTTCAATAGACATCAATGAACCTTCTAACCTATTTTCAGAAAATCATCAAGTTTTTGAAAAAAATCCCTTTATTTATAAGTTTCTGCTTTTTGCTCACGGGAGCCACTATTTTTGTTAGAAAATTCGAAAAAAATCCACTTCCATAGTTTTTCCTGGTTGAGATTTTTAATATATATCGAAGAGCATTCAGACTATTTTATCGCCAATTTTTTTGAAAAAAATTTCTGCTTTTCTTTTCCTCGCAGAAGCTTCTATTTTTTTGCTCGAAAATCAAGAAAAAAATATACATTTGGGTAGTTTTATTCCAAGCTCCGTTTCAATACCTTCATCTAAAAAAATTCAAAAAGTATTCTGGTCAACTTTCAAGAAAATCCCGGGAAAAAAGTAAATTCACTTCTTTATAGGTAAGGACCGCAACTTATGCACGAAACTAACGATAAAATTAAGAACAGAAGCTCAAAAATAATGAAGCAACAGAAAAAAACAACGAAAGTTTGGCGAAAAAGCAGTAAAATATTAAATTTCGGAGGCTTCCGCGGAACACTGAATGATGGTCGGCCAGCGCAGGGACTTGTGGGCGTGGTTTCACGGTCCTTCCTTATTGGTCTTCTATTTTTTTTCCTCACATGATTCATAATTTTTTTTAGAACTACATAGAACTCTTTCCAAATCCAAAAATGATCCAAAAACATTCAAAATCAAAAAATACTCACTCCCATAAAAACAAAAACGTCAAAAAAACCGTGAAAGGATTTCATTTCAACCGACCCAAAAACGGTTTCAGTCGGCCCACGCCATTTTTTTAATGAATCCTCGATCACCTACGTTTCAAACTCTAGATAAGAAGACAACTTGTTTGTTAAGTGTTGCTTTTTGTACAGTACCGCTCAAAAAGTCTATTAAGTTTTGGTTTTTTTGGGGATATCTCAGCGAGTACTTATCCGATTTATATATAACTTTCAGGGATAATGTAAAAATATACTTTGAAACATATACGGTATACAAAGACATGTCCGCAATGACTGTGACGCGTTTTTAGGCATTTTTTTATTGAATTCCATTGTTTTTATGCTTTTATTTTTTTATTTATTTTTTTATTAAATTTTTTTAAAATTAATAATGTTGCCATATGATTTTTTTCATGTTTTTCAGACATGGGAAGAACCTTTGGAAATAAGAATTTGACTGATAACGACAAAAGAGCCATCGTTGTGGGTCGTCAAAATGGACTGACCATGATGACGTTGGCAGGAATGTTCGGCGTGACAGAGGCGGGCATTTCTCAGTTCCTAAAGCGTCAGAAAGCTCAAGATGGCTCTACTAAGAGCCAACGCACTGGAAGACCACGTGTCACTGATCGTAATGACGATAGGAACATTTTGAAGACGTCTAGAACCAATCCAAGACTCACCGCCCCTGCGATCAGACGAGAAGTTTTCTTGAATTCGCCATCTCCGCCATCCGTCTCGACCGTGAAACGACGTCTGAATGCTGCTGGAATCATGGGAAGACGTCCAGTGAAGAAACCGCTGATTTCTGAAAAGAATCGAGCCGCCAGGGTGAAGTGGGCGAAGGAGCATCTCAACTGGACCCGTCAAGACTGGAACAAGATTCTGTGGTCCGACGAAAGCAAGTTCCTCCTCTTCGGGAGTGACGGAATTCAGTGGGTTCGTAGACCAATTGGGTCCAGATATCATCCGAAATACCAATTACCCACCGTGAAACATGGTGGAGGTTCTTGCATGGTGTGGGGCGCCTTCTCTGGAAGTGGCATCGGACCGCTTCATCGCGTGAACGGCATCATGGACAAGCACGTCTACAAAGACATTCTCCAGAACCAGATGTTGCCGCACTTGAGAGCCATGGGCCGTGGGAGTGTTTATCAACAGGATAACGATCCCAAGCACACTTCACTGTTCGTCAAGGTGAGAAAATTGACAAGTAATTCGTATGGTTTTTGAAAACTCAGGACTGGTTCAAGAGCCGTCGGGTCAATGTCATGGGGTGGCCAAGTCAATCTCCGGACCTGAACCCGATCGAACATCTCTGGGAAGAGTTGGAGCGACGTTGTGCCAACAAAAAGAGCCAAGAATTGCAACGAGAAGTTTGCTCAACTGCTGTCTGAATGGAATCAGATCCCCATGTCTACCATCGACACTTTGCTCAATTCTATGCAGAGAAGATGCCAGGCAGTGATTGACGCCAGGGGCTTCGCAACCAAGTACTAGGTCCCGAATATTGTTTTTAACAATGTTTTGTGTTGATAAAAAAATGTTGAGAAATGATTTTTTTAATTGAAAATAGCAAAAAAATTCGATTTTTTTCGAAAAATTCGATTTTTCTCGAAAAAAATTATTATTCTTTGAGCTAGCAACTTCAAATTTTGCCAGAACACGTATGTCTCTCTCAGAAAAACTATGAAAAAATTTTTGAATCGATATCGCATTTCAAAAATTTATCCCCAAAAAAACCAAAAACTTAATAGACTTTTGAGCGGTACTGTATCTTTCGGTGATTGATCTAATTTCAAATAAAACCTTTTTAAAAAAACCATGAATGGTTCAAAAAGTTTTTTTCTCATTTGTTATTTTTTTGCCCTATAGAGAACTATATGGAAATATTTCTTAATTGAGCTCTCGAAAAACCACTCAAAGCATCAGAAATTCATCTAGAACCGTAGAAAATGAAAAAAAAACAAAATTCTAGAGATCCATGTTCCTTTTTGGAAGAGACTTCGGTTTTCAATATCACTACAGTATACCCTATTCTCACGAAAATTGCTACAGTACCTCCTTAAGTTACCACTTAAATTCTTGAAAACTCAAAGAAAAGTATAAATACATGACCTAGCCTAACATAACTTCAAAAAAGTCACGAGAAATTTGAAAAAACCGCCGACCAAAAAATGACTTTCTGTGATGGAAATAGAGGAAATATAAACATTTCGCGACGACAGAAAAAATAATTCATGATTCATCCCTAGAAAACATCGCGAAAAACATAAAATAAACAAAAGGTCATGAGAAAACGACAGAAATCACTTGCTCCGCGTGACTTTTTTCCGAATAAATTCATCAAAACAGATTGAAATCGCGGAAAAATACCATGTGGGCGTTTTTAAATAAACGATTCCCAGCTTTCAAGATTTTTGAACGCACAGAATTGCGTAAAAAAAAATATAAATGCTTACAATTAAAGTCCCAATCATTTCTGATTCATTTTGAAGCGCTTCGAAATTACTAATTAGGAGAATTTAAAAGACTTCTGAAAGAAAAGAGTCGCAAAAATCGTTGAATAATCGTCAAAAAAGATCAAAACCGAAGAAAAGGCGAAAATAGGGAAATGTCGTCAGGGAAAAGTTTTTTGTGCAGACACCGTGAAGGCACACCAGAAGCGTACACAGAAGCCTTTATCTTGAAAAAAATTCGGTTTTTCCCATTTTGCGAAACTTCTCCGTCGTTGAAATATATATTATGAAAAAATTAGTGATAACTGACCAATATAAAAAATAATTTTTTTATCACAAAAAGACTGGCAACGAAAAATGCATAACTGTGCATTAGGAACACGAAAAAGGAACAAATTAATAAATATATAAGAAACAGGATGAAGAAACAATATTTTCGTGCTGAAAGGGATATTAAGTGTTCACTAAGGGGTGATACGCTTGGGGTCGCGTGGGAACAAGGAGGCCAGCCGAATGTTGCCCAGGCCCAGGAAGAGCATCGTCACACGTTCGAGACCTACAAAAGAAGGTTCAAAAGCGTCAAATTCGATTAAATTCGGCCCTAGTTTGTAGAAATACTGGAAAACTGAGAATTTACGTCAAAAATAAAGAAAAAAATGCTCAAAAAGTGCAATTTTCCTTCGACATTTTAAAAAAGAGCAAAAAACAAGTGTTATGACTAGATTTTCAAGTTAAAAGGGGCTCACGATCATTTTTTGAAGCTATGAAATTTCTGGTATATAGAGCAGAAACTTCATTTCTCACGATTTTTATCACCCTCCGATTTAATAAAAACCCATTTCTTCGAGATGCGCCGGTATTTCTACATGCGCCTTTAATAACGGTGTTTTGAGGGTTAAATTAAAGGCGCATGCCCAGAGACAAGTCAACCGTGTTTCCTTCCATGCGCCTTTAATAATAGAAGCTTTTTGGTTATATTAAAGGCGCATGCACAAAGACAAGCCGACCGTGTTCCCTTCGATGCACGCGGATGGTCTCTGTCCATGCGCCTTTAATAACGGAAGTTCTTGGGTTGCATTTAAGGCGCATGCCCAGAGACAGGCCGCCCGTTTCGAAGGGAAGAGTTGGGAGGTTTAAAAAATCAAGTTGGCGCTCTATTGACTTCACTAAAATTCCTCCTTGACTTCAACAAAAAAAACCCAAAAAATTCATTTTTCTCCCTAAAATACCCCTTCAAAATCCTCTGAAATGGCTCACCGATGCCGCCGCCAGCGTGAGGCGGACAGCCGTACTTGAAGGCGTCGATGTAGGCCTGGATCTTGGCGAGGTCGACGGCGTGGTGTTTGGCGCGCTCGATGAGCATCTCCGGCTCGTGGATTCGCTGGGCTCCCGACAGGATCTCCTCGCCTTCAACGTTCTTGGTTGAATAATCAATGTCTTTTCGAGAAAAAATAATGAAATTTCCCTCTCAACTTGAAGAATTTTTCGAGCTTGAGGATAAAATTTAAGGAATCTTGTCTTTTAGTCAATTTTTAACACCTCAAAGTTGATTTTAAGCCATGAAAAAGATGGTTTTTTTTAAATTTTTGAGGCGTTAATCTCCAATTTTTTTCTCATTCACAGCACCGAAACTTTTTCGCGGTTTTTGGAATTCTCAGGACTATACCATAGCTTTTCAAGTTCTCGACTTTCGAAATTTTGGATAGAAAACCGTCGGAAACATGCTTTATTTATTTATTTATTTATTTCACTCAAACACAAAAATACAGATACAGAATAGAAAGTATTTGAGTGAAGCGAAACCCGATATACAAACGCCCCAACGAGCGATTTACCGGGATGGGATACACGTATTGAAGATTGAGAACAGAAGTTTCGGATTTTATTTTTTTTTAGAGCAGTCTGTTGGGCACACTTGCGAGTAGTTCATTGTTGTCGAGAGAGTCGAGAAAATTCCTGAAGCGGGAGGCTGAAGTGTTCATGTCGAATCTTGAGCACAGTCTGTTCCAAATAGGAATGACTGTACTGAAGAAACTGATAAAACGAGGACCTGTCTGTATGAGTCTCATTGGGAAACGAGGTGAATCAGTTCTTCTGAAGAAATTATCTGCACTTGGAAAGTGGTAGGAGCCCAGGACTAATTTTTGGAGAGTTAGTAGAGAAATGATTATTCTCCTTCGGAAAGCATGGACAGAGCCGAGTACACTTAGACGGTCAGAATATGAATTAAAACGAACATTTCTTCTAATAAACACCTCTCTGGTGAAGAAACGGAGAGGTTTTTCAAGTTGGGAGGAGAGGGCACTGGTTAGGGGTGGGTTAAAGACTTCACAGGCGTATTCGAGGTAAGGACGTACATAAAGATTGAAGAGAAGCTTATATTGCGGTAAGCCGACATGTGAAAAAGCCTTAAGAAGTTGACGAGATTTCAACATAGCAATGTTGACAACATGATTAATATGAGAATCGAAGGTGAGTCCTTTATCAATCAAAAGACCAAGGTCTCTAACCACACTTTCAGATCTTATAGGATTTCCATTTACTAGATAAATGTTCTCAGGATTGTTTCTACCTAGGTGAAGGACGGTTGTTTTGTTGCCAGCCAAAGGCAGACCCCATGTTTTGGACCATTCCAATAACTTGTTGATATTTTCTTGAAGTTCGATAGAGTTATTCGAAGAGATTTTGAGATCATCCGCAAAAAGGTAGGAAGTCACAGAGCTGTCAAAAATACTAGGAAGATCATTGATGAAAATTAAGAAAAGGAGGGGCCCCGTGACAGTTCCTTGAAGTACTCCAGAAACGACGTTAAATTTTCTTTCGGAAATAACTCCATCTATGAGGACACTGGAAGTGCGGTCAGAAATTGATCTAGTATTAATGAGTAAACATTTGAGGTCAAAAGATTCGACTTTTTTCACATTAGAGTTATTATTCACATTAGAATTTATAGAATTTACATTAGAGTTAGAGTTTAAAAAAATATCATTCACATCAGACGAAATATCATATACATGAGTAGAAAAAAAGATCGGGCCCATGAAACTGATGGAGCCGCTATGAAGGGCTCAACCACGTCCAAACCATCCGTTCGGGGGGTAGAAAGTAAATCAGGAGGATGAGAATCAAATTGACCACGGATGGCGGGAAGGAGTGGGGGGAGAGTGGACGAAATGACCGAGGTGTATTCGGCAAGCGCTGAAGAAGTTTTGACCTATGCCTCCATGGCACAGGACTCGGGCGCGGGAGTCTTGTTTACGGCGGGCGCGTCACTTTTGGTTGGCGCCGCGTCATCTTCACGAGACCAAACTGTAAACGGTCTGGGAGTGTCCGACTCAACGATTTCCAAATCGCGCACGTAAAACTTGAAAATTCCCGCTTTAACGTTATCTTCATAGGCTTTTTTCCTCAAGCTGCGTAATAAGGACAATTCAGTAAGCGTCATATCTCTACGGCAGCGAGGAGCAATTTTTTGTGAAAACGGCATGTTTTCAAGTGTATGCCGGAAACGACGGATAAATAGATCACGAACCCGTGTGGATTCAAACTTGATTTTTAGAGGTCGACGTTTGGAGTCACATTCATGTCGGAATACTTTAATCGGACAGGGCAGTTCGGCTTCGATGCACACGTCGTTGATGAAAGATTTGTCGGAGTCGTCTTGTTTTTTGTCTTTGGAGTCGTCGAGGCGTTCGACAACGGCCAGGTAACTTTTCTGGTTCATAGAAGCGACTTCTCTGGAGAGTTTGACACGTGAAGACAATTTAACAATTTCGGGAACCGAAGACGGCTGGTCTTGAGGAGTGGCTGTAGATGGCATAGAGGTTGAACTTATCGGAAAGGACAGCTTGAGAGTCTTGTTTTCCGCTAGGAGCACTTGGTTCTCTGCATTCAGGAGCGTACATTGGGCGATAAGTGTGGCATTTTGCTTGATGAGGTCGGCAAAACGAAGTTCAAGCTCAGCATGAGCTTGTTTGATGGCTTTGTTGTCGGACAAAACACGTCTAAGAAGAGCACGGGTGTCCAACGTATTTAGATCATCATCTTCATCAGGAATGGACGAGAACGAATCATCCCTGACTTCAGAATGCGGGCGTTTTTTAACACCATCGGTCATTGTCCAAAAAACAAGGGGAAAAAACAGGGCCGCGAAAAAAATTTGAGAGCGCAAGGAGCCCGACCACACAAGAAAGGCAAAAAAGGTCAGACTGGCAAAAAAGGTCAGACTGCAAAAAAGGTCAGACTGCAAAAAAGGTCAGACTGCTTTAGAACGTCTTCAAAGCAAATTCCTCTTTCTCAGCTAATTGAGCTTTTTAGTTGAGTAACTTACGAACACCAGAGTGGACCCTAGAGGGGCGACATTAGCGCATCTTGAAAGTTCCCTCTAGGATTCAGCTTAATTTCCCAATAAGGGCACTGAAGTTCGCGAAAAGGGTCACTCTAGGGGGTTTAGTTAGTAGGAACTCTAGGCGATCATGCTTTTGATCCCTGGAGGGACGAAAATCGCAAAACTCGATGAAGTTTCGTTAAATACGTCTTTGTAGCTTTCATAAGATCACTAAGGTCACTTGAGCTTTTGGGGGTTGAGGTCGGATCCTAATCCCTAACGGGACCATCTAAAATTTAGCCCTACTTTGTCCCCTTTAAGGGCTGTTTTTCTTCAAAGATTTTTGAACCTTTCAAGCTTTAAAACTTCACTTTTTCCGGTTTAATGTACAAAATGAGTCATTTTTCGGCCTCTCAATAATTAAAACTTCAATATTTCCTATTCAAAGTCCAAAATAATTTCTTTTCAGGCCACTTTCCGTACCTCTCATGAACATATCGTAGCTGTTGGAGTATCGTTTGTCCTGAGGGTCGGGCATCGTGTAGAAGGGACGGACGGCCAGGGGGAACTTGTCCAGGATGTAGAAGTCCGTCTTGTATTTGTCCTGCAATTTACTCTTCCAACTTTTAATACAATCATTTCTTCTTAAACTGTAGATGAACTCATTGAAAAATACTTCAAAAACCGAATTCCATCCGAAAAGTTTTTTTTGTAAATTATCTTTTCTGAAACAGTAATTCCATTTTACTTTTCAAAAGTGATATTTTTCATTCAAATGTAGGTCTTTCTAAGAAAAAAAGCTTGAATATTTTTTCTGATTCAGATTTTCACCTTGACCAAACGTCCGAGTTGTTTCTCAACCGGGGTGCTCAAATCGTCTTCGTCGCCGATTTCAACACCGTTTTCCCGGAGTAGAGCAACGGCGTCCGGGTATCTGGATAGCAATAACTGTTCATTTTCATTCAAATCCTACAAATTTTAGGCTTTTAAAAATTAAAAATACCCGTAATGAAACATTTTAGCGTAAGAAAGCCTTCAAATTAAAAAAAATTGTTTTCAATGGAGCTTTGAAAAAAAAACTTCAGGGTTTCTATATGAAACATCTTCTTTTTGATATTTAAATTCTAAAAATACAAAGATATTTGAAATAATATTCCAAGGCTCGAAAATAATTGTAGAACTTCCACAGACAGAAGCTTAAATTGCAAAAATGCAAAAAAACGGGTCTTGAAAAAAAGGAATATATTGAATTTTTTTAAGGCCTCAAGGGTGTTTTAAGGAAATAAGTTGATTATGGCTTTTTTTGATACCTTTGAACTCGATTCTATGTAAAGACGATGAGAAAAAGATTATTTACAAAGCCTCGGATGAGATAATAATTTAAAAAAAAAATAAGGCGATTTTTGGCAACTTGGAGGCATTAAAACTCGGATTTACTATTCAAAAAGAACTATGAAAAGAATAAAAATCAGATTTATAACACCTTAAAGTGGTTCCTCAAGAGAATAAGAACATTTTCGGCCTTTTTCAGGCTTTGAAACTCGAATATGTACACAGAGACGCTTTGAAAACCTTAAAAGTCCAAATTTTCAATGCCTCAAGGGTGTTTTTAACGGATAGAAGAAGATTTCTAGCAATTTCGAGGCCTTATATCCCGAATTTTCTTTACTGAACAAGCCAAAAAATTTTTTTGAGCTGATGACCCTCCCACGAACTTCAAAATGAGCGGCTTCTCGCAGAACTCGAACGGTTCAGCCGGGTATTGCCGTCCGACGGCGGCGATTTCGTCAGCGAATTGAGATTGAAGGGATCGGAAAATCTCCGTGAGAACTTCGCCGATCGTCTCGAGGACCTGAACAGAAATATAAATTTTTTCAATTGGATCAACAAAAAAATTCATTTATATACCTTTTTATGATTATTATCTTGAGGGTTCGGAATCTTATACACCAATTAATAAAAATGACAATTTTTTTAGTGAATTTCAGTAAAAATAAATCATTTTTTTCATCAAATTAAAGTTCGTTGACAAAGAAAAAGAAAAATCAGGAAAATTATTGAAAAAAATTATTGTTTTTTTAAATATTCACTATGCTAATCCATTATAGAAAAAAATAATAAAAGTTCTTGCAAGGTTGGTTTTTTTAAACGAAAATTGAAATACTTCAAAAAGTCAACTACGAAGTTGGAAGCTTTTGGAGCTCTATTTATGAAAATCAACTTTGTGGGGAATTATTGACGGATCAAGCTTTTTTTGATCGGAAAGAAAAATCGGGATTTTCTAGGGACCAAAAAGAGCTCAGCAGTTCCTTATTCTTGTAAATTCATTCAAAATAAAGATTTTAAAGCTTTAAGAGCCGAAATTAATACTTAAAAATCGAAAAAAATTTACTTTTTCTCATCAAGATATAGAATTCTAATCAAAAAAAGTTACATTATATCGATCCGACTGACTTTGAAGCTTGATGTACAAAAATTTCCTCGAAAATGGCTCTTGATGCCAATTTTAAATAATCGATTTTTTTCTGTAGAGAAAAAGAAAAATCTCCGGATTTTTTTCTTTTTCATCGAGAGGATTTCTAGTTTTTGAATTGCCCAACAAATTTGCTCCAGAGCGGACCATTAAAGGCTGAAAAAAAGTGGTCCCTATAGGGGAAATGCTAGTCGTTAAATTCTATGAGCTTTATGAAGCATTTCCATGCAAAAACTGAAAAAAATAACCTTTTTGAATAAATAACGACCCCCGTAGGGACCACTTGAGCTTTAGGGGTTGAGGGGTGAGACTCTGAAGCCTTAAAGGGACCACCTTGATTTTACCCCTATAGGGATCACTTCTTCGGTCCCAAAAGGGGCTGTTTTTCTTCCTCGTCCTCATAGGGAGCACTCTAGAATTCCTGAGCTAGTCAAAAACAGTTTATAAAAATTTTCCATTTGAAAACTTTATTTTTTTCCATTTATTTCCATACCAAAAACCTTTCTAAAAACATCTTCCCACCCCAACAAACCTCATGATAATGGAAATTGAAGGCCATTTCGATGTCCAATCCGACGAATTCGGTCATGTGCCGATGGGTATTCGAGTCCTCGGCACGGAAAACGGGCCCGATTGTGAAGACCTTTAAGAAAATCCCCAATTATCATAATTTCTCTGGATAAACCTTATCGAAATCTCCAGCGATCGCCATTTGTTTGTAGAGTTGTGGAGACTGGGCCAGGTAGGCCGAACTTTTTGAAGTAAGTCACCTGGAAAAAAATTTTTCTAATAGAATTAAATGCTTTTTTTGAAAATTCTGGACAAAACCGGATACTTGGGGAAAGTGGGAGTGGTGGATAATGGTCGATAAAAGGGAGAGGCTCAAAAAAGGCAGCAAAAAGGCTTCAAAATGGCAGAAAAAAGGCCGTAAAAAGGGTCCCCTTTATCGAGCCTTTTTTTTTCGGATTTTAAAGGCTCAAGGAATGGTGGCAGGCAGTAAAAAAGAAGCCTTTCTCAATTTTCGGAGCTTTATTTTCAATTTAAAAGAGGATCTTCCACACTACGCTTCACATTTTTGAAGGTTTTTTTCCCTATTTCCTTAAAAATGCGGCCTTTTAAACTTTTCAATGTTTGAAAAGTAGAGAAAGCTGGAAACAAATTCAAAAAAATCATAGTCACATTTTTCTACACAAATTCTCAAAACATTTTTCTACAGCATCAAAAATCCGACGGACCCCTTTTCTGATTTTTTTCCCTTATGTTTTTGGGTTTATAAAACATCTATAAACAATCCTATTTCTGTGTGTTTTAATAATGAACCAACTACCTATTTTTATATAGGAAGATTCAAAACGAAGATTTTATCGAGAAAAAAAGTCGGAAAAAAAGATTCGTCGGAAAGTTCCCTAGCGATTTGAAAAAAATTGGAAAAGTCGCCGTTCGAAAAATTCGCTGACTTTCATACCACCGAAGGCGCCATCGAGAACAAAAAAACATTTAAAAATTTTTCCTTTTAAAAATATTTTGAAACAGGAAAAGTAAACTATTTTTTTCCAATTTTTACCTTCATTAAAAAAATGACAAAAAGGCAATTTTCAACACTCCGCTTCACATTTTTCCAAGAGTTTTTCCTTATTATCTTCAAAAAACGGTCTTATATTCTTTCCATCACCTCTTTTTAAAAACAGAAGTTCAAGAAAATGTACGATAAATCGGCGAAAAATCTTATTAATCGGAAAATGTTTATACTACTCTTTCAAGAAATGTCTGAAACGTAGAAAGCTTAGCTCGAGGTTTCAGAAAAAAATTATCCAGACTGGGAAGAAATGAAATATATCTTCTTAATTGAAATCAAATTTTTATCAAACTTTCTCAAATCTAAAAGCCAAAAAAACAAATTTAGTATTCGAAATTTTACTTTTTAAAACTATTTTGAAACAGAAAAAGGAAGCTATTTTTTTCGGATTATTTTTTGCAACTAATTCACCTTTATGAAAAAGCAATACTCTACCTCAAAAAGACGACTTTCGAAATTCCGTTTCAAATTATTTTGGAGTTTTGCGGTATTATCTTTAAAATACGGTCCTTTCCATTAGGAAAAAAATAGAATTAATCGCGAAAAATCTCAAAAACGCCTGAAACGGAAAGAAAAGCAAAAAAATTCAAATTTAAAAAAATAATACCTATATTTTTTTGGTCTTTTTTTGCTTTTGAAAAATTTAGAAATCGGAAAAAAATTGTCACAAAATGTTTGTAAAAGGGCAGTTTTTGAAAAAGTGACAAAAAAAGGAAGATTTTCTACTCTAAATTTCAAAAATTGAGCCATTTTTCTTACTTTTCATACATTTTTTTCGCAAAAGAACGCATTCAAAAAAAGTCAAATTACTGTTTTTGTAAATTTTTTTCTTCGAGCACAAATGAGAAGAACGTAATATTTTAAGTTTCACTTAATAAATTGGAGAACTGAAACAGTAATTTCGTCCTTACTTTTTCTACGAATCTTCCAAAAAGTAAAAAAACTCTATGAAGACTATACCGAAAAATCTCAATTTTTTTCAGGAAATTTAATCTTTTTGGTAAAAACCTCAAAGACATTGGCGCCTCCTTCGCTGGGAGCCGAGATAATTTTGGGCGTCTGGATTTCCAAAAAATCCCCGGCCGTTCAGGATGCTGCGGAAAAGATGGCAGACGCCGGATTGGATCGCAAAAAATCCCGCGGGAAGTCGTCGTACGAAGGTCCAGGATCCTAGAAGAAAAAAATCGATGAATTTGAGAGAAAAAGCTTATCAACTAAACAAAAATTTAAAAATTAAGGTCCAGGATTCTAGAAGAAAAAGTGCTATTATAAAATCAAATAAAACTTATTTTTGAAACTATGAAAAATATTTCGAACTAAAGCGTTTATATCTAAAAGAAAAAAATCATGAAATGAAGAAAAAAATTCAATATTATCTTATTTTTCAGCATCGTGAGTATATAGAAAAATCAAAAAAATTCAAAAAAATTCCATTAACTCCAAAAAAATGCGAAAAAAATTGAACTTTTATCCTAAAAAAATGAATCCATTAATGCCCTTTTTCAGCACCAAAACCATAAAAAAATTTTTTAAATGAAAAATTTTTCCAGTTGAAACTTTTTTTATTCAAAAAAAGAAGAAAAATAAGGGAGTCGAATTTTTTTTTAGTACTTTTCGAAAATTTTGAAACAAAAAAATAAAATTTATAAAAATGCTTAATTCGACCTAAAAAAACGCTTGGAAATTGTGTGATTTTTTTCTTGGAAAATCCAGCATTTTTTTCCATTTTTTTCTCATCGTCTTTCAAGAAAAAAACAGATCTAGAAAAAGTAAAAGTCTTAAAAAAACTATTAAAATCACCCGTAAACTCACTCCTTCTTCCTTCAATCTCTTAATTTTTTTGCAAAAATTCAGCTTTTCCCTCCATTTTTCCTTTTACCTTGTGAAAAAAGTCCATGGAATCTCAAAAAAATCTTTGATTTTCCTTCAAATTTTCAACTTTTCACTCCATTTTTCCTTCCCTTTCACCTTCTAAAAAAATAATAAATAAAGTTCATAAAAACTGTAAAAAATTTTAAAAAACTCAATTTTCTACAAACTTTTGGTTTCTCCCATGTTTGTCTTCTTCTTCTTACCTTATACCTTCTAAAAAAAAAATCAAAGTTCCCAAAAACTCTAAAAAACCAAGCCAACTCCATTTTCTTGAAAACCCCTCAATTTTCTTCAAATCCTCAGCTTTCCCCTCCATTTTTCTCTCATATTCACCGATTATCAAGCCGAGTATCCAGATTAACGACGGCCAATTTATTATTTCCCGCTTTTTCCTCCTCGGTCGGAGCGCTCCGGGAAGCATCTTCGATTTGGAGCGGAAGTCGTGGATCCGAGGCCGAAACCACGAAAACCTGCAAAAAATGCATGAACACTTTTTATTGTAACGAGAAAGACTCTTTTGATACTTCTTTATTGAACGAAATAGGATGAGAAAGGTATGGATGGAGGTGGAAAAAGGATAAGAACTATTGGAACGGGGAAAATCGAGGATTTCTAGTCGAAAAACCCGTTGAAAAATCAGAGTTATTATTATCACTTTTTTATAAGAAGTTTCAAATAATTTATAAAACACTTGGTAATGCGAACTATTTTGAGCATTTCTAGTGACTACTTAAGTAGCGTCAGCGCTCTTCAGGCCTCAGGAACTATCACATTCCGTTAAGATCTTACTTTTTTTCACGGTTAAGTTCACTGAAAAACGAAAAAAAGCGATTAAAATGAACTTTTTCTGAAGAAAAAAATCGTATGAAATTCATTTCTTTAACGAAAAAAATTACCTTCTCTATTTAATTTTAAACCAGAAAGCTTTCTTCTCAACGAATAAAAAAAGATTATAAAGGGCTGATAAAACTTAAAAATAAAGTTCTGAGCAACTTCCAGAGATTCATGAAAAAAACCGTTCAAATCCTACTGTATTTTGCGAAAAAAATTACTTTTTACCAAACTTTTCGACAGTTTGAAATCTCTATTTGAAACTTAATATGGACAATTCTTCTTAGAATTCACTTTATAATCATCTTTTCAATTAAAAGAAATGTATAAATTATCGATTGGAAACACGAAAATTACCCAAAAAAATCGATACAAAAAAATGGATCGAAAAATTATTCAAACTTAAAAAAAGGATCCTTCCACCCTAGGTGTTTTCAAAAATCTTTAATGATATTGAAATTTCAATCACGTTCAAAAAAATAAAGTTTGAAAAAATTGAAAAACTGCCGAATTTTTCATTTCATACTCAAATAATCTATCAAATTTCTGAAATAAACCAATAAGTTTGAAAAAAATACAAAAACAGAACTCAATTTATGTTTCTAAAGTATTCAACTCAGTATTCTCGAAAAAAATTCAAATTATCAACTTTGAAACAAAAGAAAAATTCCAGTTTATTACGAAAAATCATCACAGAGAGCAAATTTCTATCAATTATAACAATATGAAAATTGAAAAAAATCTAGATTTTTAAACCGTTTCCAACTACTTTTCAAGCAAATACTGTGATTCATTCTGCTCTTCAACTAAAAGCACAGAAAGTATTCAAATAGAGACAATTCCAAAATATACATCACGTTTTGAAATCCTTGCTGGTGTTTTTAAAGGCGCATTGATTGATTTGATATGGGTTTCGAAACGAAAAGCCGTTTAGGCCATTCGAAAATCCCCAGCACGGATTTCGAAACAGTTCTGAGAACCAAAATGGAGCAATTCCATACAATTTTATAACAAAAACAAGACCTGCGACGCCAAAAGTTCGACGTCTTTTTGGGTACAGGAATCGACGGGGTTTTCAACTTTCTCGACGCTTCCTTCGACGTCGATTATCGATTCCTTCGAGATTCCCGCCACGAATTTGATCATCTGCTTGCTGATTTTCTCCGTCACGAAGAGGGACACCTAAATCTAGAAATTATATTGATTTTTTGTTGGTTCGCAACTTGAATCGTGTAAATTCCTTGGCGGAGGACGATGAAACAAGTTTTCCCCTTGGCCCGAATGTTGTGGACGCGGCCCCGGAGCCAAACCTGGAAAAAAATATTATTTTTTTCAAAAAAATTATAAGCTTTTTTTGTTGTTCAAAATTCATTGGGAATATTGTGAGAAGCTTCCCAACCAACTTGAAAGAATAAATCACCTTCTGACCGGCCAAATCGCCAGAAACACCCTTGACCGGCGTGAAACTGATATCTCTCTTCTCGGTCGACTGAATCAGACCGTAGGATCCGTAAAAATCCTTGGAGAAATCCTCGTCATCACCTCCAGCTTGTTGCTGGCTGTTATCGCCCTTCTAAAATCCCATATAACCCAAATATTCCCATATTTCCCTACCGCTCCAGCTTTTTCGGCCTTTTGGGCTTTTCTCGCGAGCTTGTTCAGCTCCTTCTTCGAAAGCTTTGGCTGTTCACCACCGGCGTTCTCGTCCGTCATTTCCGAAGCCAAGTTTTGAAAATTTACCCTGAAAACATCACTTTATTGACGATTCCTAAAATTGAATCAAGACGAACGAGTTTAATACAGCGAAATTGAAACGAAAAACCGAACAAATTTACGAAATACAAATTGGAAAACGTATTCCCAATGAACGCGTTGGATAATCTTACGCAAAAGCAAGAATTTACATCAGATTACGAAATGAAAATGCTGAATTTCGCAAAAATTGAAAACTTTCGACGGAATGTAATTTTTCGGGTTGTGCGTGCACCAAACGCACTTAATGCGCGTGAGAC